CTGAAGTATCTAGATATAATAAGTCCATATGTGAGAGAAATAATCATGAAATAATGGAATAAATTTATACATTGAAATTTGTTGAAATAAGATATTTTCATTACCCCAACCTTAAAATTTCTTAAGATGGAATAATACAGTGTGGGGCATTAGTGCGTCGGAGCTCGATTGCTCGAGTTATATGATAGCTAAAAACTTGATTCAAAACGAATATGAATGAGATAAAAATTATTGCCGAATTTACAGGGCGCACCGAAAAAAATCTAGAAGGTCGAGATCATTTTTTTTAAGGGAATGCCCTGTATCCTGTATATACAATAATAATAATAATAATATAATATTAGCACTTTTTTGGGTCATCCCTATGACCTTCATCCACCACTATAATATCGTTGACTTTATCTCGATCGTATCAATGTAGTAGTGCCATCTGTCAGCAGAGTGGTTTACTTGTAGAACCACTCTGTAGCGTATAGACGTAGGGGTCTGTACGTGTGACTATAGATGGCAGCGCCATACAGTGTGTGTCGCGATCTCTGTATCCTACCTTAGAGCTTTGCCACAAGATGGCTACAACATGACTACAACTTCATGTTATACCCTGTGACCCGTTTGTGTATAAAGTTTAACTTTAGCTCCTGCTCCTAGGAACTAAAATTGGTGCCTTGAATCATACCAATGTTCGTGTCGCCTGCGGCTCGAAAGTTTTGATAAACAATGTAATTCGCGAAATAATTTGGCACCAAGATGTCGTTACAATCGCCGAATATTTCCGGCAAAAAAGTATCACTTGTGGAATTACATAATTATATGACTATGACCTATGTAAAATATAAATTGTGATGAATCTATATGAATTAAATTATTCATAACTTCAAAAATATGTATGTAGAGCCTGTATACATAGCAAAATTAATTTGCTGAGTTTTTGAAACAAGACCTCAGTGAAACTCCCTCATCCCTTATGTACCCTACCGATTATTCATATTTGGTTTGTTTTTCTTGCCCTTGGAAACACAATGCGGTCCGATTTTCATCTCTCGCAATTTTCGCCATCATTATTATTATTGATTGATTGTCTTCATTACATTACCCCAAGAAACATTATTGTTTATAATAGGGATATATACAACAAAACATACATATAAAACATAATAAACCAAAACAATAATAATTGCATAATTTATTCATTTGTTCGTTTGGTAATTAAGTTTATTATTTCGTTTTCTCCTCGACACTTTACCCGCTAGCGCCACCACTTAGCCTTGCAACGAACTGTACCTCGCGTACCTTAAACTAGCTGCACTTTTATAGTAATCTTGTTACCGGATCAATTCCCCAACTATAAACTAGATCATAACGCCGCTAGGTGTCGCTACTGGTACCGTATTTTCAATATTTTCACCGTTGTTGACCTCTGGCCGTTTTTGCGCCGTTTTTTTGATATTGCTACCAGAATGATATTCTTTTAATTCTGACTTTTGTCGTATGAACTGGTCTCTGGCAGCCTTTGGCTCTACGATTGTGCAATAATTTAGCTTTTATACTGATATTGTATTGATTTGGCCTGGTGCTTTAGGTAAGGGTAAAAAACACTTTGGTGTGTGAAATATTTAGTTAATTTTGTAAAACTTTTAGATCATACTTCATATCAAGAATAAATGAACCATGTGTTCCATGGGCAAGTACTGAATTTTTATCCCTAATTCCAACTCCCAAAGAACTCACATATAAGAAAAGCAAGCTTGTCTAGTGCTTTTCTCGTTTCATTGTTTATACAGTGAGTTCTCAAAGCATAATTAATACTGACTATTTTGTCATTTCATTATGGAAATATTGACCTTATGGTTGGAGCATAGGTACTAAAATCTTCTTTCAGGTAGAGTTTACACAATTTATTGAAAAATAACTTATAAACCAATATTTTGAAACTGGTAGGGCCTTTCTAAATAGACACAAATCAACTAATAATAAGCAGTTCACAAAATGTGTCAGTCCTTTCTGAACATAATATAGGTACAATGTGATTCATTTGAAAGCAGAACACCTCTTGAAATTGTATTTATTACTTCTAACTCTTCATTGATTGAAGAGCATGGAAACTATACTTTAGAACAAATTACATTATATTTATAAGATACCAAGGCCTCTACATGAATTCCTCCAGAAATTGGGTAGGTTAATTTTATTAATTCTCACAGCCTCAACAAGGATGCCTTAACCTAACCCTAACCTAACTCACAAACAGAAGTGGATAAAGCTGACAATCTAGGGATATTTTCCATAAAAAAATGCTTGAATAATTTTGATGAATTCTCATCCACATGGTGGTGAGAATATAAAATATTCAATAACAGAAAATTCAAAAATATGTAGTCATACTTTCATATCTATATAATTGATTCTTCATTATTATCATTGTTTCATTAAATTTTGATATGTCACAAATAATTAATGATAACTTTAATAGGGAAGATCTAATCATCAAATACTGGTAATTTTGCACTTATCATGTGATGAAGTTCTCTCAGAAATTGTTGTTTGTTACTTATGTATTTTTGTCTGAAAAACATGAATTTGATAATGCAAATGGAACAACCCATTATTTATCAAGATATATTTCACTATAAAGGTTCAAATTGTACCTTCTTTTCCGCCTGTCTTTTGGATTGCATTTAGAACAATTTGCCCTTCTTTTTTCATCAATAGACAATTTATTATAGAATAAAATAGAATAGCATTTATTTACTCTATAAAATACCCTGTACTGGGTGTTAAGCTCCTCAAAAATATATAATACAAATATTCATACAGAAATACACACTAATAATACTAAATAGACAATCTATGCCACAAACAACAAACCTACAATATAAAATGGCTAATAAAATAAGAAGAGATTAAAATAGTTTTTCAATAATTATCACAATGTACTTCAATGACACATCTTTTTACATATGAGTCAACTAGAAATATAATGTTCTTGTGATTTATCAATATTTAGAGAAAAGAAGAAAGAATATCATTTAAAATTAAAAGTAATATAGGCAATAAGTAGCTGTAAATGCAACCAAGACAGGGGAAAAAAGAAGGCAAAATTTCGAATTTTTTCTTGTATGTAATCTGGAAAAGTACCTATAGTGATTTGTTCACATTCTCAGAAGCATTTTCATTAACAAATTCATGTTTTTCAGACAAAAATGCATCATAGGTAACAAAAAACTTTTAAGAAAAAAACCCCATCATGATGAGTGCAAGATTACCCTGGATCTATATTATTACTCACCTAAAACTCCACCTTTCTACTGAGACATCTCTGTGCAAAAAATTCATGCCTCACCCTTTCAGTAGGCCTATTAGGCTTGTTGGTCATTTTGAAAAATGATGTGATAGAAGTATTGTTAATAGCAGCTGGGGATTTTTTGTCTGTTTCATTCACCTCCTCCCACTCCACATGATAAGCAGTAGTTTTCAAAGCATTCACAGCAGTGGACCAACTGAACCTCACCAGCTGTGGAAAACCAAAGACAGGGTCACAGTAATCCACCAAGAATTTCTTTGTCACCGGATCTGGAATCCAAAGGCTTGGAGATTTATGAAGAAAGATCATAACCACTCACCTCCTGGATAGCCACTGCCAAATTGAGTATGGTTCACTTCCAAACCTTCAGGAAACTTCCAAACTTGCAAGGCATGATCCCTAGCAACTTTGGCACATATACTAGCAGCAGATACTATGGGATAAGTTGAATCAGCCTTCTTAGCTACAGTTATCTTGTATTCTGGGAACAGGCTCTTGAGATAGTCTTGGTACTTTTCCGGTTTTCCCACAGTATCCACAAATATATGCTCGATTTTCACTTGGCTTTTGGCCGCTAATTTAATCAGATCTATGGCAGAATCCATGGACACCTGATTCAAGGAGTATTTGGAACGACTGAGCATGTTGTTACAAATCGAATTTGGAGAGATCACCTCGACTGCCCAACCGACAGATTTGTTTGATTTGCAGATATTGGAGAATATGTCATCTCGTTTTTCTTCATTCAAGGCCTTAGAATCAGCACATTCCAATTGTTGCAGTATCATTTGTTCGTTTATTGGGCAAAAGGCACAGCCGTATACCATAGGACCTGTGAAATAATAGAGTTGTGTGATGATAGGGCTCCGAGGACACAGAATCATGATACTAACCTAATACAGGGCCTCTTCCGGCTTCGTCAATTCCCAGTATGCATGGATACTCCTTACATACATCTGGTATATTCGATACATACTTGAAGTTCGCTTTATTATCCTGCTGTTCAATGTAGGAATCTAATGATTCTAACGAGGAAATATTCGTTGTTTTCTCTGATTGAGTATCCATCTCCATTGTATGCCGACTTGTTTACAAACAAAAACAATTTGAGTTGGCGCCAAAATTCGCGCTCCGGTATGACAATTGTCAGACAGCAACTCACAGAACAAGGAATATTAGTGGGAACTTCGAGTTCTATGGTCCAAGTCTGTGAACATGATTCACGTGAGCCTAAAGTTTTCGAACCATTCCCAAGCGGCATTGCAGATTGGTCACAGTAATGATCACAGTGGTAAAACAACAGAATAATCAACGGGGTCTCGAGAGGAAGAAATGAAAAACCATCCTTTAACAGTGGGTGGACGCCATGCTATCAGTTGACAATAAAACTCTCTGATTAATCTCTGACCAAACATTTTATACGAATCTCAACATATCACGTGATGGGAATGGTTCGAAAGATTTAGGCTCTTCTCAATATTCTTGATTCAATTGATTGACATTGACACTATGGACAGGAACGTCATCAATGTCAATATTGTCAATTCTGTTAATGTTTATTGATTTGAATTTGAAGTTTGAAGATGATAATTTGTTTTCATATTGTTTTCATGCATTTATTATTATTTAAATAATGCTGTAATGAAATGATTTGAGAATGAGTTGATCCGAAGAATAGTAAAAAATATATGGATCATAAATGCCAATTAGTAGCAGCGCTGCTACTTTGGTGAGTACATAGGATTCTCTATGAAAACAGGTATTGATACAGATTCATTTGAAGGAAAAGAAAAAGCAGTTCAAACTACACTCTCATGCGAAAAGCATAGATCAAAATGACCGGCAATCAGGGAAGAACCTTTTGAAAATAGCCTCGGCTTTGCCCGCCAAAGACAAGCGTTGTTTGTTCATCAGGTCACACAGTACACTAAATGCATCTGCAATAACAAAAGTACAACACAATGTGCCTGCTTTCAGCGATTCAGTCACTGTTCGAACTCATTCTGATGGATCCTTACATGTATCACGGCTACAAGAGGAGAAAGAAACACAACCAGACAGGATAAGTTTAGACAGAAGAGGACTAGTTTCTGTTCCTATAATTGATGGAGAACATAAACTCAGATTGTTATCTTTGCAACATAATTTAGTTAGTAATCTAGAATCTTTAGGGAAGCAGTCTTTCCCCACTCTGGTATTCTTAGATTTGTATGATAACCAATTAGAAAAGATACATTGTTTGGGTAAATTGGAAAATCTAAGGGTACTACTCCTGGGAAAGAACAGGTGAGATCATCAGTGATTGAATACATTCCCATCAGTTTCCACTCAATCTTTTCAGAATTAAACAAATTGAGGGTTTGAAGACACTTCCAAAACTTGAGGTTCTTGATCTCCATGGGAATCAGATATCTCAAGTGGATGGGCTCAATAGTTCTACAGAACTGAAAGTTCTCAATTTGGCTGGGAATCAGTTGAAGGTAGTTAACAATCAAGATTTTCAAGGTCTTCATTCCCTTCAAGAATTGAATTTAAGAAGAAATAAACTGAAGAAATTGCTGGGATTTGCAGAAGTTCCAAACTTAGTGAAGCTGTTTGTCAGCAATAATGATATTCACTGGTAAGTGATAGTTTTTAGCATAAAACATTGAGTTGATAAGTTATGAATAAATGGAAGAAGATTATTTTCCACAATCACATCAATTATTACCTTGCAGTTTTGTATCATTGGCTTGAAAATGTATCCTAGCAAATTTGAAATGATAATTTCCCTAAAGACAAAAATATACTATATACCACTTCCAAAATTAGTCTTATACCAAACTATTGAGACAACTGGTACTATTTTCAGTTGATTGTCTCAATTACATAAAGAAGCATAACTGTTTATAATAGATACTTGAATATTTGTGACAAATCACCAAAAAATAAATGATTACCTAATAATGAATTCCATTCAAACATATCCATCTCAAGATGAAAAGTGTTACATTTCTATCATTATGAGTTATCAAATTATGCCTACTAATTATATTATACTGGGTGTCCACTAAAAGGAGGTCAATCCATTAACCATAATCTATTAGATTCATCACAAAATTTAAGTATGAACTGAAGAAATATATTTTATCAATTTAACTCTCCCCTTGTATCAATTAATTCTGATTGAACTGTTTATCTTTCATTGTATTGCATATTTGATTATATTTTATTTTTTTGTTGTTTCCCTCTATAAACATTGTATGTTTCTTGGGATCCATAAATGTTATTATTATTATTATTATTATCATTATATATTCCTTGAACAAAAACAATATGCAATATACAGGGTGTCAAAGTCGGAAATAGAAAACTGTTTTTTTCTAATTACTGGCGTATTTAATAAGATATCAATCTAAAAATTGGTACATTACTTCAGCACAAAGAGTTACATCATGATTGTGAGGAAAACCAAACAGAAAATAACTGCCAAATCTTCAAAATACTGGGGGTCAAGTACACACTTACCCCTATATTTTTTTTGTATTTAGGCTAATGACTTCCTATCTATTTTTGAAGACACCTGTGGAATAAAATATTTTTTGCCATATTTTTGAGCGGTTTTGGCTGGTGCGGAATTTTTCGAGCCTCTTCCCCACTGTATGGTATGTCAGGCGCGAGGTCGGGCGCGAACGAACGGGAAATTATGATATTCATGATTTTAATAGCTATTTGATGAAAGAAATAGCAGATCAGGATTGTCTATGGATGTATGAAAGATTTTGTGCATAAGCCACATATTTTTCAAAGGCTAAGATTTTCTTTAATTAAAAGGGCTCGCATATTTACCTTTTCGTAGGTAAAAAGTTTCGCCCTCTTCCAATTTCGACGAAGTATAAAGGAGTATGTGAACATTATGAGATTACCATAAGCCACATAGGCATCAAACAATAACCAGTACTTTTTGAATTATTTTTAAAACAAATAATTTTATCGAAATTTTACAAGAGACAGAAAATACTCAAAAATGATTGAACACTTGGAGAAAAATAGACAGAAAGTCATTAGCGCACGTACAAAAAAAATATGGGGGTAAGTGTGTAATTGACCCCCAGTATTTTGATTATTTGACAGTTATTTTCTGCTTTGTTCTCGTCACACGATGTAACTCTTTGTGCTGAAGTAATGTACCAATTTTCAGATCAATATCTCATCAAATACGCAAGTAATTAAAAAAAAATCAGTTTTTAATTCCCAACTTTGACACCCTGTATATCGAATATATGTATATGAAAATGAAAAATGGTATTTAGAAACTCATATTGTTTTTGTTCAAGGAATATATGGTTAATGGATTGACCTCCTTTTAGCGGACACCCTGTATAATTTGTTGGTTGGTGTATTATCTTTTTTCTAATTTATGTTCATATGAAATGTTTTTTCTTTGCTTACTATTACTAGAATTTATGGATTAAAAATATATTCTATTCTATTTTATATGTACTTACATTATATTCTATATTGAGGAAGATTCCCATATTCACTCCAATTATATTATTTGTATTTCTGTTGAATTCAGAGTTTTTACTTGATGAAATTTGATAAAAGAAAATGTTTTTCTATATGAATTATATTACCTATTCAAATATAATCTTTATTTCTTTGAGTATAAATGATTTCACATCTTGGAAGTTGATTTGAAATTATTAATTTTCAGTATTGAAGATATAAGTAGTTTGGCAAAATCGCCTAATATCAAAGAAATCACCATAGACAATAATCCCCTATCTCTAGAGGGTGAATGTGTTTCTTTCCTGGTATCCTATCTACCACTGCTGATGAAACTCAACACAATGCTTATCACAGAACAGGTAAATACACTGTGTTCTACACTTTCAAAAATGTTTTCATATATGGAAATCACAGAAATATGCTTTTATGAATAACCAATTTTGGTGGATACATGTATTTGTATATGCTTACAAAAATTGAAATTAATCTTCAAAGAACCTTATTATCAACATAATAGTTCTGAGACTCAACTACATCTCATTGTTTCTTTGAAATTTCCCGGAAATTCTGAAATAGTGATAGGAAGAAAAGAGAAATAGAGCAATGAAGGAGATAGATAGATACAGAGAAGACAGAGATAGTGAGAGGCAAGAGAGAGAAAATGAGATAGAGGGTTAAGATAGAGAAATAGATGGAAAATAAATAGATAACATATAGATATAATATACAGGGTGTCCGGAAAGGTCATGTCGTAAATGAAAGGGGGTGATAGAGTGTACCAAAGTGATGACAGTACTTCATATGAAAAAAATGTCTATCACACTTCATTATGGAGTTATTGACCTTGAAAGTATTAATTAAAAAAATAATTGCATGCTTAACTTTCAAAAGGCTGCCATAGTATCAATGATATTCTGGCAAATTAATTAACTCATACTAATGCTCCTTTAGGTATGTAAACAGCTGTTCAGTAATAATGTTTCATAAAGGATGGGACGAATTTTCTCCATTATTTGATGAATGCATTTTCGACAGGAATGATTTTGTTTCCACTGTTTGATTCCTTCATCTTTTTTCTACAAAAATGGTATACTTTGTTTTAATCAATTCCTTATTCATTTTAAAAATATACATTCCAACCGTTTCAAAGGTAATGGAAATTATATTTATTCAATAACATCATGGTAGTTGCAGTCATTGTCATATTTGACATCAACTTATTTTGACAGTATTTAATTCTTTGGTAACACCATGGATGAGTTTAGTATCAGCTGCATCCGTCATTCCCTGAGAGGCCTAGTCCGTAGACAATATCATTCTGAATTTTGTACACCGTTTGCCTAATAGATACAGCCATTCCCTGTAATGGCGGAAGGAAGGCTCATTTAAGCCGAGTCAGGTTAGGTTGTTTAGTAACAGTAGTCTCTCTGGATCCCTCAAGTAATTTTCCGAAAAATATGCTTTCTAGGAAGAAGGTTCATTTAGGCCGAGTTTGGTTAGATTTTGTTTAGGAAAAGTAGTCTCATTCTTTTTGCTTATTTAGAAAGGATATTTTCACGACCACCTATGAAAACAGCACAAAACACATTGATTTGTCATTGAGAAAGTGACTCGTTTCACTATGACAACATATAACAGTTAGAAAGTTCGAAAGTAAAACTCACATGGGTGGAAATTCGAAAATCGCACAGTAACAGAGTCTATAGATCATGATTTACCAATGAAAGATTATTATGCTGAATTATGGTAAGTTGAGTTATGGTCAAGTTAATGGAAAGTTACCGTCGATTTAACATGAGTTATTGTCGTTAATGTTGACGTAATGTTAAGTTGATGAAAAATTGAAATCAAGTTAATTTCAATTGAAAGTTGAATTAATGTCAATGTATTGGCAATTTAGTGATTAATGTGAAGTTAATGTCAATTTGATAATGTGTTGATGTTAATTTGATTTTAAGGTAAAGTTAATTTTGAGTTGATAATGAGTTAATGTTAAGTTAATTTCAAGTTGATGTTGAGAAACTGTTAAATTTATGTTAAGTTGATGTTAAGTGGATGTTAAGTTGATGTTAAGTTAATGTTGAGTTAATGTTGAGTTAACGTTAAACTAATGATGTCATTCAAATATTGAAGTAAAATTAAATAATAATGATAATGATATCACCTTCATGTGATCGAATATGATTAGAAACATGGTCCCTACTCTGGACTTATAAACACTCATGACATATAATATAAATATTTGTGGTCGTAGGAAAAATAGTGTACAAAACTCGTTGGAAAGTGCATTTCCTGCAATCGTTTCGTTTCCGCACTCGCCGCTCTGCGGTTCGTGCTAAACGTCCACTCGCGCGAAATATGTCACTTTCCACACTAGTTATGTAATATACTATTACCTTCCTCAACCTCCCGGCACACATAGTAACGTTACACACTACACTGTTTCACCACTAACCAAACCGATTTTTTAAACGCCTCGACACTTGTTTCGTTAACTATGTTAGCATCTTCAGGAGAAGATTCAGTTTTAATCTTCTCCTGAACATAGTTAACGAAACAAGTGTCGAGGCGTTTAAAAAATCGGTTTGGTTAGTGGTAAAACAGTGTAGTGTATTATCGTGCCAAAGGTTCCAGTCTTCCATATATAGAGTAACGTCATTTCAGGGAATGGAGGATATCATTAATTGACGCCGACGTATATAAGAGAGATATAGAGAGATAAAAACTAGGGAGATATACAGAGAAGAGATTTAGATAGAAGAGGGAGATAGGAAAGAGAGACATAATAAAGACAATATTTTTGTTTATGATTAATTCAGGTAGTTTAGGAAGATGGTCTCTTGTCCTACAGCCGGACTGATATATTCTTTCTTTATTTACGATGAATTTCCGCGTATAGTCTAGCATTTCCAATATAGGTGCGCAAGTCTGCAATGGCTTGGCGCAGAAACAAAGAAACGACGGACTCAACCTTCATGAATCTAGCCAGCGACGTTTCGCTCAACTGTCGCAGAGAAGAAGTCATCTCTAACGCGAGGGTCAACTGGGAACTACTCAGGTATACTTAAAATTGTGAGGTGATAGATGTTTAATGGGCGAGTGGACTATTTTTGTATTCCTTGAATAGAATCATAACTCAAATACCTTTAAATATCATATTTTTTTCTGTGACGGGAAAAAAGTTTGGCTACGCGTCGGGAGACAACACAACCTGCAGCTAAAATCTACTACTTTTTTCCCTTGTATAATAAATAACTATTTTTCTGTGACGGGAAAAAAGTTTGGCATTTCATCCCTGTTGGCGGGTTATAAAATGTCACTTTTCATAAATTACTTTTTTCCCGTGGGAAAAAAGTGAGTACTTTTTTCCCGGCAATATATCACATATATATACACTGTTGATGGCTTTTGTTGTGCTATAGTTCCGAAAAATGAGTCAATAATACCGTCTCCGAGAAAGAACTGCGAGTCCTTTTATCTTCCATTCGACTTCGCGGTTACGAATATTAATAAACAATCACAAAATTCGCAATTTTTTGAAAACAAATTACAGAATTAGACTGACAGAAGTGACATCAGATATTTGATTACTTCAAATGAATGATAAAGATGCCTACAACGCGGTGACCCTACTGTTAAAAACTTAAAATTTCACGTCGATAATTTTCAGATTTCAAAATAATGTAATATCTTCTCAATATTGATTCGTCCTTTCTTCTGTCACAGAAAAAAATAGTGTATTATACACGGGAAAAATATTAGATTTTAGATTTAAAATCTACTTTTTTCCCTTGTATAATAAATAACTATTTTTAGATTTTTCGGTCGATTGTAAGGTGCTAAAATCATCAATAATGCCACGGTAATTTTCAAACGGCTAGAAATTTACCGCCAGTAAAAACTGACGTCATGATTTCATAAGTAGGGGCAGACCATAGCACAGTTGCCATATGTTGAAATGCGATAGGGATTCATAAATTCTCAATTATTTATTGGTAATATTCCTAATTAGCTATAATAAATTAATTATTGTCTCCAAATGTTCCTTCATGTGCTGTGGCGTAATAAATCTGTGTAACAAATAATTATATTAATTCACACTAGAAGACATTTGAACCGGTGAACGGGATGTCCTTGTCAGCTCTCAGCATTCAGCACAATGTTGCCAAGTCTCCAACATTTACATGATATTGCGTTGTAGATTATAAGAAATATTTAGACATCTGATTGCTGGAAAAAGTCAAGAATGAACTATGATATCATGGGAGGGACTCTAACATCTTTTTGATAACTTGATTATAATTGGTGACTTGGCAACCTTGCTTCTTGAGTGGAAATGGAAGATTATCTGACCAATAACGAAACAGCATAAAAACTGACGTCATCATTTATTCGACGAATCGCCAGAAGGCGGCCATGCCGGTACGTTTGAAATGAGCTCTAAAATCCAACAATTTCGAACGTCTTGACTCATTATTTACATAAAAAAGCGTGAGAATTGTTGCAAGAATTGATTCAGAAGCATGGACGTATAAAAAAGAAGGACACAGCAACTCCATACTTTCAGCATATAATGTTTTGAAGTCTTAGAGATGTAGGCAAGCGGGTTGAGGGGAAGGGAAACGGTAACGATAGACTGTGCTATTTCATCAAACGACAGCGGCGTGCGAAAATGAATTATAGTGATAGTAAATTTCGGAATCCAAAATGCAAAGAACGACTAAAAACTGAATACCATAATCACTATGACCGTTTATCAATCCGAGTCGCTATGGGTTATACCAAGTGAACATAACAAATACAGATTTGTGTTTTCACATATTGAATGATGGATTTTATATAACTGTGGTGTGGTGAACTAGTACGCAAAATAGATTATTAAAATGATGATAATTCGGTACTATTCAAGGAATCATTGAAAGTTCTGTATCTTTTTCCATATGGTACACCAACAAACCAACTATAAAGAGTGTCCCAAAATTGCTGGGACACAGAACTACTACGTGTAATGAGGTCAAAATGAATTTATATACACTATGTTATCTATTCGGTTATCTATTATTTTTTGACCCCCTGAAGATCAACTTTTTCTCTGATTAATTGATGATTACTCAATCCGATCAGTTTGGAAATCTATTTGATAACGATGCAGATGCAAAATACTGTCAACTATATCCTCATTCATAGCTAACAGTTTATGAAAAGGATAAGGATTATTACTAGACAATATGACTGATTATCATTTCATTTTTATTTTTGAAACTATAATACATTATATACTTGCTTCTATATGACATGTAATGCCAATAACACAGGAATAAAAAAATAAGTAATAAAAAATATAGAATTATAGGAGCTAGATAACTACAATTTCTATCACATCACAAATGTATATTAATAATGACAAACGCCTGTCAAACCGCAGCGCTAATGAATCGTCGTCGAAAAAACTTTGATATCCACAAATAAGTGCATCCTTTTTCATTTAGATAAATATTGTTTGGATATGCCTATAACTGGATGGCAGTAGATTTTCTATCGTTTCCACAATTGTTTCTGATTCGACTGCGTCCTTATTATTCCCGAGGTTATTCTAATTCAAATTATACGCGTTAATAAACGTTTATAACGTTTAATTTTTCAAAATATTCCATGATTCTTGAACTCAAGAAATATTGATAATAAGTTTATTCAAAAACGTTCACAAAATATATACATTGGAACATACAGATAAGTATTTTGAAGAAACTGGAAAAAACCTTACGAAGTGAACCTTGTAGTAAGAATAAGAAACAAATGTAGATAGTTCAATGAATATTTAACAATATTAAATTATCACAAGGGAAAAATTGTCTCATTAGGAAATGAGACATCATGTATATAATTGATGTATAGTGTACTAAGCATTCAATTCAATTCGCATAATTATTTATATTTATATATACTCATTCACAATTATTATTTTTTTCCTGTCTCTCTGTTTGCTCGCTCACAGGAAATTTTTTCAGGTTGAGTGGAAGAACAGCTTTCGTTTAGTTCTGCTAAATGAAAGCTGAACTTCGCCTTTTATTTTGTTTAAACCATTATGGATACAAATTGTAGTTTTTTTTGTTAATTGAAAATAATAAAGACGTATTATTATTATTATTATTATTATTATTTATATTTCGGATTTTATTATTGAATGTTAATTTTGAGAACCTCACCGTAACATTGCCGTATATTCTTGAATTTCTAGGTATATTGGAGCAGTCTGAAATGATATGAAATGATGATGATATGATATCCCACTGAAATTATGAAATTTCAATTTTTTACACAATGCCAGACCCTCGTAAACATTGCAAATAGGGAATGTATTTTTCATCTCCTTTCATAAACAATGTTAATTCCTATGAATTCTGAGAGCGGCGCCACTCTCTGGACATAAATTGTTGCCATGCAAGGGTTTCATAGTCCCTAACTTTTTATGTTCATTTCCATTTTGAGTGAATGAATGAATCAATATATATTTGTGAAGATCTAATCTATGTTCCTGTCGTCTCACTTTTTCGAAATTTGATTCAGTTTTTTCTGAAAAAAATCGCAAAATAACGTGTTTTTTGATGATTTTCAAAATTTTTTCCTCAAGAACCGAATCAAATTTCGAAAAAGTAAGACGGCAGGAACATTTATGAGATCTTCATGAATATGCACAATTTTTTTCATCCACTCAAAATGAAAAATGACCGTGAAAAATTAGGGACTACGAAACCCTTGCACGAGCCCTTGCATTATTGCTTTATATCATAGTACAACTTCCTCTTGACAGAAAAGCATTGAAAAGGAATGTTCTCAGATAAATTATGTACGTAAAAAAATGGATATATACATATATGAAGAAATACATCGAGACTTCGCATTCTCTATTTGATGAAAATATCAATTGTTACGCCTATGAAACTCTAATTCAAACATGTAAACAAATAGTACTTACGAATGGAAGGTGAAATTTGGTTATTATAACTTTGTTTTTTCGCAAATCCAGCAGTGTAACACCATTATTAGTCTCTGTCTATCAACTTTTCACAAAAAAATAGGAAAATTCACTCAAAAACAACGGAAACAATTAACTTCCTCGAACACATAAATACAAACGAACAACGCCGAACTCGCCGAAAGCACGAAACATCACGAAAGGAGCCTGTTTTGCAGCGGCGTTGTCGGTTGTGTATAATCTCGGCAACCTTTACAAAATAACTTCGAAATAATGTATAACGACAGTTTTATAATATTTGATTGTGACTATCTATGGACATATGATTTATTCCTCGAGTTCTATGAATTGGATCATAATGAACATCTAATTGAATAGATGATTACAAAAGGGGTAAGTAAAAATACTTGAGAGGATTAGACTGAGGTTAGGAATTATTAGCGACAGGACGTGACAACCTCCAATTCAACATCAGGTGATAATATGCTGTGACCGTATTCTCTGACTTCACATTACGATGTAAATAAATGGGTCCTTCTTTGTTTATACGTCCATGCTTACGACACAGTGGAGTAATTGAATGCCAATAATTCATTATCAGTCCACTCGTCCATTCAATAGACCATTTTACGCTGAGCGCTGCTTTTGACATATTTGGGTATCATTATCTGTTTTTTCTTCATTGGCAACATTTACGATTCTGTCATGTCACAAAATGTTTGAATTATTTCAAAGAGGAAGAGAAGGAAAGCCCGGATTCAAATGTGCGATCAACGGATGAGAAAATACTTCTGAATGAAGTAAAACATTATCATTTCATTAGTTTCCAACAAAAATTCACGGAAGGAGGAAATGGATAAGAAATATTGGGGAAGCAGGCGAATGAAATCATGCCATACAAACACAAGGAAGTTTGCAGTATTCGTTCTGGTCTAATAGAGCCTAGACGGTTAAAAACTGTGAAGAGTCCACCAGATTATTTATCTAGAAGAGAAAACCTGGAATCTGGAGGTCCTCCTCAGCCAGGTTACTACGTACTAATCATCCCGTTTTCAGAAGGACGAAACGAAAATTGAATGAATAATTAATAATATTCAATTCCATGTTTCCGAATCTGGTGTGCTGGATGATGCCTCGCGAGAATGTGAATTCAGTGAAGATGTATTGAACATTACAGTCTCTATTTCAATGTATTCTATGTATAAACATTATTACACCAAGCTCTGTTTATTTGTTTATTTCTCATATATGGTCAAAGCACACTGACACATTATATTTGATTTTTTTCATGATGTAAGCCTCTAATTCACCTTCCAATCCAATACAACGTTGACTAATACATTTAGGTTTTGTTCTATGGAATATGAGATTTTTTTTCACTTCCTTCGACTTAAACATCCTATAAAAATCAGATATCAATTTTAAAATTCCAATTTGACGTGTACTACTGTAAGAATGACACTTCATTTTCAAATTTTGTGCATGACATTTTGTCAGTGTTGCCAATGAAAGAATATTTAATTTGATATCCCGAATTAGTTCCAACTTGGGCTAAATTCTGCGTGAAATATGGTCTATTTGAGATCTTTCCGAGGATCTTCCTACTACATTTTGCAATTTATCGATGTTTTTACCATGTACCTTCTGCAAACTAGGCCTGCTAGTCCCTAAAATTGATTTTCTTCAATGACCATCTCTGCTTGTTTACATAATGCGGTGAACAGAGATGGAACATTATGTACAGTGTGTAGCAATTTGGTCCACCTTACCGTACCGTACCGTATTCCTAGGACGAATTAGTATTTTTTTTCTCATATTATACCACTCAAAATTATCTACTCTGTCGAGCAAAAAAAATTATCAATCACAATCTCATAGCCGATCACAAATACTCCAGCAAATTTAAAGAAAACGGATAAGGCATTTTTTTTTCATTTTGATAATGCCAATCGATTCAAGCTAAGTAGTCTCAAATACTCGTATATTTCAAGTTTCAGAAGAATATCTCGATAAGGGGTGTATTTATCAACGTAACAATATTTGAATAATACCAGGCATGATGGTAGTAAGGATTGCATCTTTCGGCTACAGTAAAATAAATAAGGAATGAAATCACTAGAAATTAAAATTTTTCATCAAGAAATAAGAAGAGGAAAAAACTGAATAATACCAACCAAAGAATGACATCAAAAGATTAGACAAAGAAGTAAATTCGCAATCATTACGAAAAAGTTCAGATTTTTGTATTCTCGATAAAATCTCCTTCATTTTCTAACTCTTTTGCACATTATTTTCAACTGTCCTCAGTTCTTCTGATGGTATCTCTCTGCAAAGTATTATTTTTGTTTGTTGCAACTCCTATCTATTTCTTGGCTCGAATTTCTTACTCTGTAGCCACATGATCTAATCTTGACTACCATCATGTCTGGTATAATTCAAATTCTTATAAAAATTATTATACACTGAATCTTTTGAAAAATTCAAAAGTTTATCTCCAGTTAATATAATTATTTGTTTTTTTTATTCAGATTTATTAAATAGAACTGGGTATTTTAATATGGAGAGACCCAATTTAATTCAGCAAACCAAAGTCGTACAATTTTACTATGGATATAATCATTCCATTGTGAATACTCAAAGAGCATATCGAAGATTTTTTTAATGTCTGAAACGCCCCATCCCATGGAACTCCGCAGCATTATTCGGCATTTTCAAACCCAGGGTTCTGTATCGGATCTTCTCAGAACTGGAGGACCACGTTGAGTTTGAGAATTTATGAATTTTTGAAATAAGTCAGGAACTTTTGGCCCACCCTGTATATTATGAGGAAACAAATTCCTTAGTTCGCCTTAGGAATACGAAAGTACACTGGTGGGGTGGACCAAATTGTAACACACTGTATATTGAAAAATCGACTTCAGCGATTGAGTGGGCAACACTACAGGAACAAACCTATTGTGAACTTTCGGAACTTTCGTAGAATATAAATACAATAACATTTCACCCTGTACAGCAAATATGTATTCCATGCCAACTTGATATGAGGTTGGTTTCAGAACACAAACCAAATATTTGACCAACACAGGAGGCAGCACGATCGAAAAAACGTTGAAGAATTTGAAGCCGGATACGGATTTCTTTTTGACTGGCGTGCTTAAGTCGACTGGGGGCAAGATGCCGGTCAAATCGAAAATCACCGGGATAAACAAGGTATCTAGATCGATTTATTTTCGATTCATTTTTACATTTTATTCGAAGAATTCGCTGAATTTAAACATATAAACTTGAATAAACATTTGAAGTGATCGAAGACATGTTCAATTCAATGTGTTTGATGCTGTCTATATAATAATATACAGTATAATGCAAATGTATGGAATAAATTCATTTCAAAACAAGATGACTTTCGAAAAAAAAAAAAAACTAGAGTTTAGAACTTTTTTTCGACGTATTTTTTTAACTAGACGACCCTTCGATGTTCAATTCTCAGTAGCAGACCTCTGCAAGATTCAGTTGATCACATGATAATCCATTTTAATTTCAATCTTCTTATGCAACATTTTGACTGTTGAATAGACAATCAGTAGACCTTTCAATCAAGGTGTCACATGACCCCTATTTCTATTTGAAAAAATCGTCCATTACGTCTTTACTCCAACACCGGTGACGTAACATCTCTCATATGAATATCATGGAATGAGGTTTCAGAAATTAAAACTCACGTGTTTTTGGAATTTTTTCAAATGTCGCCCATTTCTGAAATAATGAATTTATTCCATACATTTGCATCATACTGTATAATAAGTTTCTTTGATCAAGTACCTCTCTCATTATCAAAATAATGAAAATAATACTTCTCTTATTGATAATTCCACTGTATTATTCAAATGGCTACATGTGTTGCAGTTGTTTTGGAGCTATGCGCGTATCTACAGTGCATATTTTTCTGGTATTTTTTAATATTTTTTGTGCTTGACTATAGCTATACACCTATTTTCATTCTCTAAATATCTTTTGTATTTTTTTTGTTGTTTACGTATCAAAAATTTCAACCCAATCGGTCAAGTTTAGTAGTTGACTTACCCATCTACCGCGTCCAAAATTGAATTTTTAAAATCATCCAGGAAACAATCAAATATTTCCTCTTTATAATATTAGTATAGATGATACAATCATTATCTATACCTCAAAAGATTTTAACGATATCAATAATTATATTAAAAATGATTTGGAAGTAAAATCATATTAGCTAACGATCAATAAGTTGACTGTTAATCATAATAAATCTACGTATATGTACATCTCGAAAAGAAAAACTGACATATTGAATAATACCCCAATATGCTTCAATAGCAAATCCATTGAATATATACAAATGTAGCAAAATGTTTGGGTCTTTATATTGATGAACAATTATCGTGGACCAAACATATAGATCAATTGCGGAAAAAACTGAATCCCATTGCAGATATTTTATTTAAAATTTGAAATTTCATTCCTGTCAGATACCTAAAAAGTATTTTTTTCTACAAACGTCAAAAAATGACAAGGTTCGCGCATTGATAACAAATTGCGATGTGACACTTTTTTTCAGTTCCCTACGTTACCATGATACCTTGCACATAACAATGCGCGAAGTAAAACAGTGCGCGAAGTACCTACTTCGCGCATTGTTTTGTAAAATATATGAGATATTTATATTTCAACTTCATGGTCCTCAATCGAGCAAACATCCACGAAATCATTTATTTCTGAATGTTCAACAATAACTTTGTTTTATCTCTTGGAGCGCACGAAAGGAAATTCCTATTATGTTCGTGGAACATCGTGCGTGCCTAGGGAGGATAGGGGGAGGCATTTCAAGCCAGTTCAACACTATTTTTCATATCAAGCTGAGCATATTTTTACTTTAGAACTATATTTTTTGACGTTTGTAGAAAAAATTTTGTTTGCAACTCGAGCGCGAAATACTTTGGTCATCTCGACTATTTTTTTAACTCGCCTACGCCTCGTTAAAAAAATCAGATCTCGATCACCAAAGTAGCATTTCGCGCTCTAGATACAAAAATAACTAATTTCTGTCTTATTTATACAAATTTACAACATCTAATATCTATTTGGGGATTTACCCGTTTGCAGCCACTCATGAAATTACAAAACAATAAAGTTAATTTTCAATTCACCTTTTTCAGAATCAACTGTAAATCTATACAAACCTAATGACTTGCTGAATCTGGTTTCATTGTATAAACGCAAAATTTGTTGTTACATTCATTTTGTCAGAAAGGAATAGAAAATATCAAATTTGAATTTTAATGAAGTTAATAAGATTGATAGCAAATAATTATAAGTCAAATTTTGGTTTACAATGAATACTCCATAATGGAATAATTTTATATAACTCCCTACCTAATGAGTTGAAAAATATAGAAGAAGCAGAAAATTTTTGAATCAAATTAATGAAATATCTGCTCAGTAAACTTTAATTCCATATCTACTAATCATTAACAATTTGATAACTTGTAATGGATTATAATATTTTCATTTTATATTTCATTATAATTTTTTTCATGAAAAACAATAATTGTGCAATTATTATTGTTCCGATTTATTATGTTATGTATGTTTTGTTGTATACAGGGTGTTGCGAAATTCTACCGACAACACTTGACAGGTGATAGCCCTCGTGATTTCATAATCACTGAGATAGGGACATACTGTCTTTAAGTCTCCAGTTCTCGAGATACAGGGCGTTGAAGTTAAGAAATAAAAATAGTTGTTTCGCAATATCTCAAGAAAAATTGAATACAATGCATTCAAATTCGGTATATGGTTTCATCTTCCAATGGTTCATTTTTTGACCAGAAAGACATTCCGAGAATTTTATCCAGAAGTGCGCTATAGGGGGTTGTGAAAACTTCACCTTCAACTGAGCTAAAATGAACAGTTATCGAGATATTTGACCCAAAATAGAAGTTTGCATAGTAATTTTTCATCTTCCTCAGTAGTAGAAAATTACAAAAATTCTTGTTTTCTCTCTATGCGTGCAATAACCATTTCTGTTCAGCTACAAAATGGGATCTGAATAGTATCTAATCTACTCAGCTCAGTTGAAGTTGAGCAAAATTGAACAATGAATTCGAGGAATTCGAAATGATCGAAATTCAATCAGTGGCGTAGAAAATATGGGAGGAAAAGTTGCCACAACCCCCTGTAGGGCACCAGTGGATAAAATGTCCGGAATGGCTTTCTGGTCAAGAAATGACCCATTCAAAGATAAAACCATATACCGAATAGTCAAGTCAAGTCAAAAAGTGCTTAATTGTTTAAGAATGAGATTCTCGTAACAAAGCATGGACGATCAAAATGTAAAATATGAAAAAATATCGAATAATATAAATATGAGTCATTACTAAGTTACAAGTACTTATACGTTGATAAATGAAGACAACATTACAAATAATAAACTAACAAGAAACAAACACTAGACAATAAATTTAAAGCTTAAATTATGTCGAGGCAGAGCCTGCTTGTGGGGGATCAATAAAGTCAGTTGGAAAATAAACAACTTAGAAAGTAGTATCTGCTAGGAATTGGTCAACGGCATAATATGCCTTTTTGATCAGTAATTTTTTTACAGTTTTTTTTGAATCTGCAATGTAGTGAAATGCCCTTGATCACATCAGGTAGGTGATTAAATAACTTGAGCCCATTATAAACAAAGGAGTTTTTTACAAGAGTCGAATTTGGTATCGGTAGTCTGATATTATTAGTATGTGTCCTTGTATTATATTGATGTTTCACATTTTTATTGGCCAATTTCTGCCGTTTCTTGTGAATTAAACAAACAGTTTCCAAAATGAATAGAGCAGGTAACGTCATGATTCTCTGTTCCACAAACATTGACTTGCAGGAATCATTTAATTTTGCCTTACATAAATATCTCAATGCTTTTTTTTGAATGATGAACACTGCCTTGAATTGATATTCACTACATGCTCCCCAAAAAGGCAAACCATATCTCAAGTGAGACTCGACAAGCGCATAATAGGCTACTCGGGCTGCCTTAGTCCCCAATTCATTCGTTATGATTCTAACCGCATGGGTTCCACTTGAGAATTAATTTTAATGTGTTGAATGTGATCTCCCCATTTCAGTTGACCATCTATTTTGAGTCCCAGGAATCTATTACAATCTTTATGTTCTATAATTTCGTTCGTTTTAAATTTTGTATAGTGAATTTGAATGTGAGAAGGTTGGTTTTTTTAAAATTAAAGGTGGCATTATTTGCTGCACACCACTCTGTAACTAAGGGAATATCATGAGAAATAACTTCAAATAGGTTCTGTGGGCATTTATCTGACCATTTCAAAGTTGCATCGTCTGCGAAAAGGGTAAATGTACCAGAAATTGGTAGCCAAGAAATATCATTAATATATAGCAGGAATAAAATTGGTCCTAGTACAGACCCCTGCGGTACTCCATTACTAATTGAAACCTCAACTGACAATATGTTGTTTTTCCTAACTATTTGCTTCCTGCCTTTGAGGTATGACGCAAACCATTCATGGGTCGTGCCCCTGATGCCATAGCAGTACAGTTTATGCAGCAGTATTTCATGATTCACACAGTCAAACGCTTTCGAGAAGTCACAGAATACTGCTGCTGCTACATCCCCCTCATTCAGTTTAGTGTAAATTTTTTCCAAGAAGGAAAAAATTGCGTCCTTTGTACCTTTATTTTCTTGAAAACCAAATTGGTTAGAATTCAATATATTTTGTTTTATTAAAAAGGATGACAGCCGTCTTTTGACCAGTTTCTCAAACAGTTTCGAGAGAGTAGATAACAACGATATAGGTCGAAAGTTTGATGGATCCTCCTGATTCCCAGTCTTATATATCGGAATAACAAGTGCTGTTTTAAGACACTCCGGAAATATTCCTGTTTCAAATGAATCATTTATCAACTTAACCAGTATATCTAGGATACATTCAGGGAAGATACCAAGCAACTTGGCAGGAATATTATCGACGCCACAGCTGCTTTTGTTTTTGATTTCAGTTAATATATCTCTGATTTCTTCCCTGCATGTTGGGGAGAGAAAGAACGACTGTTGAATATTGAAATGTTTCATATAATCCAGGGGATCCTTCCTCGACTTGATTTTTTTTATGAATATGAATGCATTATATTCAATTATTCTTAAGATATTGTGAAACAACTATTATTATTTCTTAACTATATGCCCTGTACCTCGAGAACTGAACACTTGCAGACCGTATGTCCCTATCTCAGTGATTATAAAATCACGAGGACTATCACCTGTCAGGCGTTCTCGGTCGAATTTCGCAACACCCTGTATATCCCTATTATAAACAATAATGTTTCTTGGGGTAATAAAGACAATCAATTAATCAAGAAAAAAAATGAGAACTCAATAACAAAACAATTCATTCGTTCACCCATCAGGTGCCCATGTTACCCGACAAAAAAATCCACCTGCCCCGCACCTCCTCCCAGGACACCGACACCTCCCAAAACACCTCGAACAGCTCCGGCGACCTGTTCAAACTACCGCCCATCCTCGCGCCCATCATCGACAAGATGGCGGGCAAAGATGGCGGCGCTTCGAACGCCGACAGCTCGACGAACTCGTTGGCGAGCGGCAGCGCGGATTCGTTGAGTTTCTGCAGCTCGAAGGAGTCCGATTCCGAGACGGATTCGGTTTCGGATTTTGATAAAGAGGGAGAGAAGGAGGCGTCAAAGAAATTAGCTCAAAGGTAAGTCAAAATTCAAAAGAAAAAATGAAAGCTCAAAGTCATCTCCCCTACTTTATTACTCATGTGGATCAATCAAGGGGACATGTTTCGGACTTATAAAATTCCATCTTCAGCCGTATTTAGAAGTAAAAACTCCACAAACGATAAGATTTCCACAAAATTCTCGAACACACGACATTTTTCGCTAACACAGTAGCTTCGTCAGGTGATATACTGGTACAATGAACTAACCTGACCTTGACTTCCTCAACTTTTATACAGGGTGGCCCACGGTCGATGGTACCTCAGACGTATACGGAAAACGGTACATTGGATTATCCTGAAAATTTGGTTACTCTAATAAGCGTTTGTGATCTACCGATTCAAAATATTTTCAGCGAAGCAGCTTTGCCACTTTTACCAAAAAGTAGCATCATCTTTGTTATTTCAAATGGAACACCCTGTATTTTATTGCGTTTTTTAGATTCTTCTCGAAGAGCTGATTTCATCAATGTATCACACTTGGGGTCTAGCAGAAATTATTACAGAGATATAGGGTGTTCAAAATCGAGATTTTTCAACTTTAGGATTTTTTTGTGTCGAAACTATTCATCATTGGTCAAAACGGCTTACATGTCCCTATATTAACTTTTGACTAACTATCTACCGACATTTAATTGGAAAACATACAGGATGGTCCAATTTTCAGAATTTTGATCACCCTGTATCTGTTCCAATTTAATGTCAGTAGATAGTGAATCAAAAGTTAAGATAGGGACATGTAAGCTGTTTTGATCCATAATGAATAGTTTCGACACAAAAAAATCCTAAAGTTGAAAAATCTCGATTTTGAACACCCTATATCTCTGTAATAATTCCTGCTAGACCCCAAGTGTGATGCATTGATGAAATCAGCTCGTCGAGAAGAATCTAAAAACGCAATGAAATACAGGGTGTTCCATTTGAAATAACAAAGATGATGCTACTTTTTGGTAAAAGTGGCAACGCTGCATCGCTGAAAGTATTTTGAATCGTTAGATCACAAACGCTTATTAGAGTAACCAAATTTTCAGGATAATCCAATGTACCGTTTTCCGTATACGTCTAAGGTACCATCGACCGTGGGCCACCCTGTATATCCTACTTTCCCAACCTGAAGGATTAGTTACCTATGGACAGGTTTGATAAACTTTCATTTTCGGAAATTGGTCACAATATCACAGAATACAATATCTACATCAGAATACGGTAACTCTTTTGTTTTCGGAGATGTGAAAAAATTTTGAATAAAAAAGTTGTTTGAAACGACCCAAACTTTTATTTCGTAAAGTAGTTTCATATAAGTTACTACTAGTAAAGGCATGTGAAAATGAAAGGGGAAAGGTCATGTCGTGAATGATTCCTATTATATGTATATTAATTATTTTTCTCTGACTGGTGTACAGTTGTGTGCAAAAACATGTCGTTCAACGTTTATACAGGGTGTCCCATTGGGAAACGGAAAAACTTCAACAGTGGGTAGAGCTCATCAAGGTGGTTCTGAATATACCATATTTGTAGGGTCTCGCAAGTTTTATATCCGAGATATAGGGTGTTTTATCAATTTTGTTCAATTCTTTGTGAGGACATAACTTACGAACCACCCAGTATATTCTTCTACCAAAGAGACTCACCTATCAGTAACGAGACAAATCTAGGACCGGATCAACGAAAATTGATCATATATCTGAACCCCAAAAATATCACCCTGTATTTTCGAATTTCCAAAATCCGCTCAAATATTTGGAAAGTGCATGAAAATCTGAATCGTATGATGTACTATCCATTTTTCCGCATGCTATTTCACTAGGTAATTTCTGATTTTGAATATGAGGTTTCATGCATTTGGATAGGTAAAAATGAAATGTTTTGAGTTTTCCCAATTGAATAACAAAAACTATCACGAATCACCCAGTATATTCATTTGGAATTCGGTACACAAGTCCTCCTTCTTCTACCCCAGCGACTCACCTATCAGTCAGGATGGAAATCCAGGTCCAGATTAACGAAAAATTATGATCTTCTGGGCCCGAAAAAGAACACCCAGTATTTTCGAATTTCCAAAATCCGATTCCATATTTGGAAAGTTCACAAAGAGATGATTCGAATTGTGTACTTTCCAATATCCCGCATGCTCTTTCACTAATTAATTTCTAATTCTGAAAACTCAAAATTCTCCATTTTACCTCGATTTCTACCTATACAAATATGGTAAGGCAAAACCATCGCAATCTATTCAGATAGCCAGGCGGCAATCAAAGCAGTCAACTCTATGAAAGTTAACTCAAAACTAGTATGGGACTGCTTAGAAACCCTAAATGCACTGGGCAGTCAGAACAGATTGACTCTAGCAATGCATGAGTACCAGCATATACAGGGTACTAGGGCAATGAAGAGGCAGACTCACTTGCCCGAGCAGGAGCAAACAAAGCTCTTAATGGCCCAGAACCCTTCTGTGGTATTGCGAAAGCTATACAAAAGACTACTATCAAATCATGGATGCAAACCAAATCTCAAGAATGGTGGAACAACTCGCCAGAAATGAGACAGGCAAAAGAGTTTATTAAAAAACCATCGCCAACATTCACAGAATACCTACTAAGCCAGAAACGAAGTTCAACTAGAATACTAGTGGGACTTCTCACAGGGCATTGTAGGCTCAACAAACACATGAGTACGATAGGTCTGACTGAAGAACTGCTGTGCAGGTTCTGTCAAGAAGAGGAAGAAACAGTAGTACACATACTTTGCCACTGTGAGGGCTTGTCAAGACTAAGGTTCCTTACGCTGGGTGAGGAAAAACCAGGAGCCCAGAGATACACAGGAGATCTGAAAGCTAGCCTATGGAGTCTCATAGAGAAGGCGGGGCTAGCCGAAGAACTCTAATCGATTTTGAGGGCAGACACAATAGATCTGAAAAGGTCGCAGTGTGGAGGCAGATAGCCCGCAGGCCCCATTACAAATCTAATCTAATCTAATGGTATATTCAGAACCACCACGATGAGCTCTACCCACCGTTGAAGTTTTTCCGTTTCCCAATGCATGGGACACCCTGTTCACCCTGTATAGTGTGAACCTGCCTATGATGTTTCAGATTTCATCAAAAAGTAGTACGCGTACACATTTGCGCGGTACTGACAAAAATTTTTCGAATTTTGACGCTGCTATGTCAAAGTCGTTAAGAAGAATTATCAAGATAGACAAGCCTGACTCACAATTGGCAAGGTGATCGACCGTTGGGGGCGCTGTTTCAAAACAAGATGGCGGCAAAGAGTGTGTAGTTTGTTTACAAAATTTCTTGAGATTTGCATACATTTTCTTCTTGATATTTCATCGTGTTATTTGTGTTAATTGTTGAACTTTCAACTGAAATCATAATTAAATTTGTTGGATCTTACTGTTTCATCGTTATGTGAGGAAAATTACTGTTACCTACTGACTGAATCGTGGACCACATTTCTTCAAACCAGTGCATTTCTGTGGGACAGCTTTATGGGATATGAGCATATCCACTATCATCAGAAGCTGATATATTCACCATCATACTTCTATAACTCCACTCTTCAAGCAAAAGGATCCTACAGACCACAAAATGGTGATACCAATTACCAGGAGTGAAGTTTTTCAACAGTGAACAGCCTTCTGTGAACATATTGAAAACCATCCCTGAACAATGTGTTAACCTATTCGACTATTTTGTGTTAAATATTATAGCCATCAGAATCATGTGCAATTGATCCATACAATAGAAATCAGCAGCAACCAGCTCTAATGAGTCTAAACCAAGAAATAATTCAACACCAAAGGCATCCTGACAATACTGTGGATTTAATAGTATATACAACAATATTACTTCCAGGCTTTGAGGCAAACATTTAACAAATGACCTAGGATTTCAGTTAATGTATTTACACAGTATATTGTCATAAATTTTGTGATTTGATATCATTTTGTAATCCTAAATTCATCTAATTGAAAATATCTATCTTATCTTCATTATGTTTTGTAAATTTTGAAACTGAATTAATAATAATGTTCGAAAATGAAAGTACATTGACATAACATGTGTTTTACTGTACTTATACCACCCCAAAGAAGTCCAGAAAGAAGTACCTACAAATAGAAGGATAGTACAGTATACTCCTTCCCTCAGTGCTCATGTATACTGTTTTCCCCTGAATTATTTTACAAGATACCTTCATAAAAATTTACAATTATGAATGAATTTGAAATCCAGGACTTTTATGTATGTAGAAATAAATTAACAATGAGCAAAAGTAAGTATCTTTCTGGTATAGTAATATTTAAAAGGAATCAGTAAAGATTATAAAGTGAAACTTTGAAATTGCATAAAAAAAGAATGAGGTGTTGATTGAGGTAGTTGTGGAACTGAAATATGAATTTTGAAAACCTACAATAAAACATTACAAAACAGAAAAAAAGTAGAACGTTTACTTATGAATAAATACAGTTTAATAATAACATACAAGCAGTAAAATTATGAATACATTTTTCCAAGATACAATTTGAAATGTCATGGATATGTTCAAGTACCCAAATAATCAGTGATATATCCTTGAAAACTTGAATTCAACTTCAAGGAATCTGGGTTTTGGTTTCAATTTGTGTAACTAATTGCACTCAATTGCAAGATACCCTGGATGGCAACTCCTCCCCTGCTGAAAAATTGAAGAAATATTAGTACCTACTATAAACAAACCATATCTATTAGCTATTACACAATCTAAATATTCAAATAGAAATAGATTGTGTCACTTCAATGTATGTTCAAAGATTCAATTCAAGCTATGAAGTAAGCTACCTACAATGACCTGCTTGTACCAGGGTTATTATATATCTATAAAATATGCTACTGTTTTTGCTCATATGAATGTAATTGGAGCTGTATTTTAACTTAATCATTTTGGAAGTACATGCAATCTGCATTGGCGATTTTACTACAAAGATGATACTACAAAATAGGAATCTATGGAGGCCTAGGCAGGATGTCATGAACAAGATTTTTATATGAGTCAAGCATTACAAATAAAACTATAAATTACCCACCTGCACATGTTCATAATGTCTTCTTTCTTGCCCAGCTTTGTGTATTGCAGTTCAAAAGTCAAAGGCATTGAATTTGCTTCATTTTTCTTATAAAAATATTTGAAATAAAAACAACCATACTTATTTCTCCAAGTCCTAGTTTCTGGAGACATTTCCCCATAAACAAAATAGGTATGAACTGTTGATTATTTCAATCATGTTCTCTCAGATAGGCACTGCAAATGAGTTATTTATCAGTGATAGATATATCAATGAATCACAAATTTACCTTATTGTTATCATTATTGGACCAATGAAGTAAATAAAGATAGGAAGTTTCTGTTGGAGCTGCATACATCCAGTTTTCAAACTCATATTGGATTCTCAACGTTTATCCATTTTTTCCATTCAACTGAACTGGTTTTTCATCATCAGAAAAGACTTCTTGAGTGCAGGAAATTCATATTAGAGGACATTATTGGTCCTACATTTTTCCATTGGAACCTTCTACTAGTTCAAACAGCAACCAAACACAGTTAATTTCGCGTATTATCAGAGATTTGTTGATACTCATTCATAAAATAATATAGAATTGATTTGGCAATTGATATAAAGTTCATGTCTTGTACTCAAGAGAAGGAAGAAGAGAAAATTAATATAATTTGTTGAATGGTATTCATAAAATATGAAACCTACTGAACACAATAACAAACATGACCTTGAATTACGTCCTAAACTGGTTCAAATTTGCCCACCAGGTGCCGTATCGGAATCGTCACCTTGCCAATAGCTTATAACTGCTGTACGACTTGTTTATGCACACAACTGTACTTCTTCAAGCAAAACTATAGCCAGTTTCAACACCAGTGAATGATAGCGGTGAATAACCATTATTCATCTGTCTTAGGTTCCTGAGTTATGGTTATTCACTGCTATTATTCACTGGTGCGAAAAATTACTACCGTTTTGCTTGAGGAAGTACATGTATTATGAATATTTCATAGAACAGTCGTGGATAAAATAAATTATACAATTTTTGTAGAAAATAAATTAAGGAATCAAACGGTGGAAGCAAAATGTCAAATTTGTCACCCCTGTCAAAAATACCTCCATAAAACGGAAGAAATTCGTCCCATCCTGTATAAAACATAATCACTGAATAGCCGTTTATATAATATTTCATTTATTCAAACTTTCAAGGTCAATAACTCCGTAATAATATACGGTAGCAATTTTTTTGTTTGAAGTACTGACATCCTTTTGGCTCTGTAGCAGCCCTATCACTTAGGACATGACCTTTCCGGACACCCTGTATACATATTCTTTAAAAAAGCTCGGTAATAATTGAGGCTCTCGTGGTATTACATGTGATAATTTCGGGTCGGTATTTTCAGTAACTCTTTACTGAAAACGGTGGACCTCGAGGACGCCGTAGCCAAAAATTTCGGCACTGACGCTTCCAGCATCCTGTCCGGATCGACGACGAGCACCTCGAACCTCTCCAACCCCAGCATACAGGGCGACAACAACAACAACAACGGTCGGAAGTCGGCCGGCGCGAGAACGAGGAGCGCCCTGTATGGCAAACTGGCGCCGCCCCATAGGGCGACTGCCGCCCGCGCCGCCACTGCCAAAGCGAAGAAGCAGGGGTCGCCTGCGCTGCCCAAAGATAGGGAACAAGGTAGGAGGTCAATGCGTGAGGTTTAATCAAAATAGATTTAAAAACTTCACAAACGATAAGATTTACACAAAAATATCTAGAAAATCTGGAAATCTTATCGTTTGTGAAGTTTTTACATTTGCCATGGATTTCCATCAAGTAACGGCCGAGTCAATTCAAAAAATCAAAACAGATTGCTGTAAGTTTCTAATAAACACTTCGAAAAGGGTAAAGCGTTCTCTAATGACATCACGTTTTTTCAATTCTTTTTTCAAATCTTTCGACATATGTTATAAATATTCCGATACTACTCACACAATACTTCGACCAATGCTTTCAGTTAAGCCCAATGCTTCTAAAAGTCCGATATATCCAATTTATGTCTGACAATTCGAATTTCGAGTTTGACAATCTCCACTTCTGTAACTTCAGGTGCTAGTTTCAGGTAAAATTCAGCTGGATCAGGACCAATGTTCCAAGATATTTTAACTGACCGGATAAAATATCTTGGAATTTGGTTTGATGACAGGTTGAAGTGGGACAAACATATTGATGTTCTGACAAAAAAAATATCTCCAATTATTGGTGCATTGAGAAGATGTCCCAAACTTGATATTAAAATTGCAAACATGATTCTCTACTCTCATATACTGAGTCGTATCAACTATTTAATAAATGTTTGGGGAACTTGTTCAAAGAACAATTTCAATAAAATATCAACATTATATAGAAAATCGTTAAAAGTATTGTATCGTCTCCCATTTGATACACCAACCAATCAATTGTTTGAAATAACAAATACGTATTCTTTAGATGAAATATATAGAATTGAAACTCTCAAAATATCATATAATATCATAAATAAAAATTGAAGTTGAATTTTATGTTGATACGGAATTCTGAAATTCATAATCATGAAACAAGACAATATAACTTGTTTCATCTTGACGCCGCTAGCTCCATTATCGGACTAAAAAGATTCACTCATTCAGCCTTAACTGAATTCAATAAACTACCTAACAATATAAAAAATTGCAGAAACATAGGTTCATTCAAAAATGAAGTGAAAAAATTGATTATTTCTGAGCGAACTGGATAAAATTGAACATGCCATTTTTTTTACAAATATTATTCTTTGTTTGTCAATTTACAGTTGTTGATATATTTTGTATAATGATATGTTTACCTATAGGTATATAATTATGTACTTCCTTATACCAGAGCCTATTTTGTCTGGAAGTTATTTGTTCAATAAATAAATAAATAAATAATTTCTTTTTGGTTTTATTCACAAAAGGGAGATAAATAAATAGATTGTTTGACGACTTGAAAACCTCAGAATTTTTTGAATATCTATCTCTTCTGAATAAAACCAAAAAGAAATAGATTAAATGCAACAAATGGATTTCTTTTAAGGAATATTGCACTAGAAAGTAGAAGATTATGTTCTTTTCCAGTGATCGTGAGCTGGGCATGATACTTTTTTGAATTTGTGAAAAGATAACCATTTGACTCTTATGAAATACCTATTGCTTTTTTCTGCAACCGACACAAAAGTCGTCCATTTTAATACCAAAATTAGCTATTGAATTGACGTTTCTATTACTGACACAGGTATGCTGCTAGGCAACACTTTTACTTCCTAGGAGCTGAAGTTGAACTTAAGCTCCCAGGAATTGAAAAGGATGTACTGGGTCATCAAGAATAAACAACATTGTTATGGTTGCTTATTTGGGTTGGGACGCATACTTGATTTGTTCCCGATTTCGGCAGATTTGGCATTTCATACCCATGCTGGAGATATCTATAAATACACCATATTACAGTTGAGTATTTTTGTTATGATCAGGAAACCCTTCAAGATTCACATACTTGCTTGATCTGTATTTGATTCATTCTCCGGATGTCATTGATTGGATAACTTGTTTTTGAATAATAACGGCCAGCAATACTTTTTTGTCTCACTCAACGATATTGTTTACCTTCATTTGATCACCGAGTCATACACAGTGGAATATGGAGAGAAATAAATGGGCATCACCCTAGTTTCTCAGGTAAGGCACTAGCCGTTCTGGTGATAGATACTCTCGAGTGGCAGATCTCCACAAATGATGTGGTAATTTGCCTAGAGTTATTCTAATTCATTCATTCTAAAAATATCAAATAAATTTTACAAATACCACATCGCTGGAAGTGACCTTACCCGGAACATCACCACACTACGCCAACATCACAACATACGCAAGAAACACGGGCTGATATATGCATCAACCGATGTGTTTAGAGAACCTGGTAATCCATAGTTGGGAATCCCCCAGGATTCTCGGGAATACTCGAGACACCGAGGGGAGTCTAGACAGGACTATCTCTCAAGCAGGAAAATAAAAAAGTGACATGGACGTGAGAAATCACTACCAGTCACTGAACTCGGGCAGATGTGCCGCACAAGAAAGTGCGGTACAACTGCCCGAGCAGAACAAGAAGGAGGTTTTTTATGGTTTTGCCAATTTTTTTTACTTTTCCTCCAAACAAGAAAACCCACCCACATTGATCGCGACTGAACAGCTCCCCCACCCTCTTGGGTACCCTCAGCGAGATTACCTATATAAAGGGCCTAGCCCTAGGAGATAGGTACTTGTGACGAACACCTCGCATATCCACTCACATGTCCTGGCCAACACTAGCCACCTCTGCGCCAAGCGGAGGGACACCCAGGCACACTTACAGAGGTGCCAACATTAATAGAAATGTGTTTGATAATATGTGTTGTAACAAAAAAAATGAAGAAACATTAAATTACTTCAATAATACTAGGCGTTCGATATCTGAAGTTGAGCAGTGTCGAGCGCGGTTATTACTTGGATGGGTGACCATTCGAGGAAACGCCGCGTAAGCCCGTACATCTGTAGCGGAATAGCAATAGCATATCATAGCTATAGCTACCATATCAATGAGCACAAGAAATGGTACGGATATGCCGTTCTTCGGAGGGGACGGTAAGCTGGCGGTCCCGAGGCCATGTTTGGACTCGTTAAAGATCTCTACCTCTGGTTGAAATACCAGGGGATTCGGCAAAATTTCCGGTTGGGGGTAGTGTACTCACTAGCGTCGGTGATTAGCCTCAGTAGCAGAAAAAGGCCGACGTTAAATGAATAAGGAAGAAACAACACACAAGTGTGAAAGAGACAGGTTACCGTAACACAAGCTATCTTTGTTGCAGCTGCCCCTGACACACTCTGTGCTATTCGTGAATCCGGCAGTTTTCCTTCCAGGTGTTTATATTGAGTTCATTGATCAAAAACCCTGCGGTTGTCGAAACGTGGTCCAAGTGATCGCAACCGATCGGCAATCAAAAACTCTCTCGTTCTTCGATTTCAGGTGGCGACTACTTGATCGAAATCAGCGGCAGACACTTGAACGTGTACGGACAGGGCGCGTTGCGGTTCATCGACAAGCCGTGGAACGTCAGCAAGGCGCACGACGTCAACACCGTCAACTTCAACTACGTCAATTTCAACAGCGTCGCCGGCGTTCTATCGAAAATCCGGCACCGGTTCCCCAACGTCGATCACTTCACTTTCAAGGTATAATAATGGACCTGTTTCAAGGAACAATTTCATCTCATTATCTTTATTTATTCATTTATTTATGTATTCCTTCCTTCCTTCCTTCCTTCCTTCCTTCCTTCCTTCCTTCCTTCCTCCTTCCTTCCTTCCTTCCTTCCTTCCTTCCTTCCTTCCTTCCTTCCTTCCCTTCCTTCCTTCCTTCCTTCCTTCCTTCCTTCCTTCCTTCCTTCCTTCCTTCCTTCCTTCCTTCCTTCCTTCCTTCCTTCCTTCCTTCCTTCCTTCCTTCCTTCCTCCTTCCTTCCTTCCTTCCTTCCTTCCTTCCTTCTTCCTTCCTTCCTTCCTTCCTTCCTTCCTTCCCTTCCTTCCTTCCTTCCTTCCTTCCTTCCTTCCTTCCTTCCTCCTTCCTTCCTTCCTTCCTTCCTTCCTTCCTTCCTTCCTCCTTCTTCCTTCCTTCCTTCCTTCCTTCCTTCCTTCCTTCCTTCTCCTTCCTTCCTTCCTTCCTTCCTTCCTTCCTTCCTTCCTTCCTTCCTTCCTTCCTTCCTTCCTTCCTTCCTTCCTTCCTTCCTTCCTTCCTTCCTTCCTTCCTTCCTTCCTTCCTTCCTTCCTTCCTTCCTTCCTTCCTCCTTCCTTCCTTCCTTCCTTCCTTCCTTCCTTCCTTCCTTCCTTCCTTCCTTCCTTCCTTCCTTCCTTCCTTCTTCCTTCCTTCCTTCCTTCCTTCCTTCCTTCCTTCCTTCCTCCTTCCTTCCTTCCTTCCTTCCTTCCTTCCTTCCTTCCTTCCTTCCTCCTTCCTTCCTTCCTTCCTTCCTTCCTTCCTTCCTTCCTTCCTTCCTCCTTCCTTCCTTCCTTCCTTCCTCTTCCTTCCTTCCTTCCTTCCTTCCTTCCTAATCGAGGAGGTGGTACATTCATCATTCCAGATTATTTGGGATTTTCTCTCGTCTCTATAAAATCAAAATATCAATATCATTTCAATATACGTGTAGTATGGACAAATCAGATGATTTGCCCCAAAATGTCACTGCGTTAAAAGCATTTTCCTATCAGAGACTAAAAGAAAAATTCACTAGCTTGTCAGTGACAATTTGTATCGAAAAAGGTTTGGAGAAGAGAAATAAAGGTAGACAAAATATCAAATTTTCAGTTATCTCTGGACGGTGTTAGTGGCCAAACTCCTCCGAGACGGCTCGACCGATTCGTATGAAAATTTTTGTGCGTATTCGATAGGTATGAGAATCGGTCGTAATTCAAAATGGCGGTTCGAATATGGCGGACGAGTTCTTCAATCCGATTTTATTCAAAATTGGTTTCTGATGATTTTAGGGGTCGGAGATCATGATTTATTCGTCAATATGGCGGACAAGTTTTCCAATTATGTTCCGATTCTATTCAAAATTGGTAATTTCGGGGGTGCTAGGGGTCGGATATTATGATTCTTTCGTCAAAATTTGTAAATTCAAGGTGGCGGATCCAATATATGGCGACGAGTTTTTTTAATTTTAATTCGATTCCATTTCAAAAAGGTTCTCTGCTAGCTAGTTTTCTCTCAAACAGGTCTCTCCATGTAGTGGTCGACGGAATTTCATCTGACTCTCTTACCATAAATGCTGGCGTTCCGCAAGGATCAATTCTAGCACCAACACCATTTCTACTCCATATCAACGATTTGTTGGGAGCAACTTCATGTCCAGTACATAGTTTCGCGGATGATAGTACCCTCCATACCGCCTTCTCTTCCAAGGTTTCAATACCAGCCAGGCAAATCAGATACGAACGAGGGAGAAATGTTGACAACATGAACATGGACATGGCAATAATTCTCGAATGGGGATTCAATAACTTGGTAGATTTCAATGCAAACAAAACACAAGCATGCCTTTTCTCTAGAAAAGCCGATTTCACTGTTGGATTCTGTCCAAAAAAGGGCAATTCGTCTCGTGGGTAATGCCTCGCTCACAAACTCACTCACTTCTCTGGAACACCGTAGAAAAGTTGGCGACCTAGCTCTATTTTATAGATATCTTCATGGACGATGCTCTTCTGAAATATCAACAATTGTACCTCCCTTGGCAGTCCCCGCGAGATTAACCCGTCGAGTTGAGACTTCGCACCCCTTTGTGGTCACTTTGGAGACCTGCAGAACATCTCTTTCCAAAGACTCGTTCATCCAACGAACAGCGAGGCTCTGGAACATATTGCCAAGGGTGGTGTTCCCCGAGACATATAACCTCCAGAAATTTATGAAGAACACCAATTCTTACCTAACTTCCCTTGGTTCTCATGATGTACTCTGAACATTACAGGATATCCCTTTTCGTTGGAACCAGAACATACAAAAAATTTTCTCTTTCTAATGAAATTACAAAACAAATCAATTAAGTGCACTTTTCATCTACATTTTCTAGAACCAACGATAAATTTATACAAACCAAGACATTTTCTGAACCTGATTTCCTTATATAAACTTAAAATATGTTGCTTTATTCATTTTGCCAGGAATAAATTGAAAATATCAAATTTAGCTTTCAATGAAGTCAATACAGTCCATAATTATGGGACTAGACAATTGAATTACTTGATAGCAAATACATTCAAGTCAAACATTGGCAAACAATCTGTTTTTCACAATGGAATAATTTTATACAATTCATTACCGAATGAGTTGAAAAATATACATGATGCGAGAAGGTTTAAAATCAATCTTAAAAAATACTTGCTGAGGACAATTTGAATGAGAAATATGTGGCATGATTTGATTACTTAGAATGAAATATAACTTCATTCTTATAAGACACAATATTAATTCGTTTCCACTGAGTGGAATTCATTATAGTTATTATTTTTTTATATGTATTTATGTATCCCTATCATAAACAGAAATGTTTCTTGAGGTAGTAAAGACAATCAATCAATCAATCAATTATCCTCTTCCAGGAGACCAACATCGCCTATTTGGGTCAGCTGAACGCCATCGCGGAAGTGCAGGGATTGACTTCCTTGGTGGTGGACGCTGAGGGGAATTCGATCTGCGGAAAGGAGTGGCAGAGTTACGCCGTCTACCGGTTGGCGCATTGGGGACTCAAGTTCATCAACAACAGAGAGGTAATCGAGAGTGTTGGTATTTGTTACCACATGTGATTAGGATAGTTACATATGTACCTCGACGAAATACCGCCTGTAGACACGGCTACGTCTCGTTAAAAAAATCAGATCTCGATCACCAAAGTAGCATTTCGCGCTCTAGATACAAAAATAACTATATGTTTTACTTTGTTACTTGTCTTAACACACGAAGATTTTCAGTTGCGGATGACAATCATGATCTGGATCACCATAGTTACTGATGTCGTTGATATGGTAACAATCAGCCCCTTCGATGATGTTTTAGAAATGGAGTAACTACCGTTTCATAGCATTTCATTTTTTTTCTTGATTTTTTTCATAGAAAGTTAGCGTTGGCTCCCTCATTTGAGGACACAAACCTGTCAATTTACTCCCACGGGAGGAAAAAAATATCACCTCCCGTGGGAGGTAAAATAAATTGGCTCCAGCATGCTTCCTTGGCAGAGATATACACATAAGATTTGTGCTACCCAAGTACCTAATCAGTGTGTCCATCACTACTATAAAACAAATAACAATTTCATTTTCCAATGATCTCATACACTTCCTCGTATAACACTCAATCGAAACATTAAATAAAATGCAAAATAACAATAAACTAATTCAATGTGTCAGAAGTGTGAATGTCAAATTGATTTTTGTTCTGTAACCTTAGATCATGTAAAACATTGATTTGGATCGATGTGTTCGTGGATAATATCATATATACAGGGTGTTTCAAAATTCAGTATCAAGATTTTAGGGGCGTATTTTTCAGGTCAAAATAAGACGTTTTTGTCCATAAACATGTGTCCGCAAACGCTTCGTTACCGATCTACAGAGCGTTAAAGTTTCAACATTTTTTTATTTTTTTCTCCATAGCTCTTTCACTTTTTGAGATATTAAGATCAAATTTGGAATGTAGGTTACGTTCTAGGGCTTACATCATCCAGCATGCCGAGTGATTGTGAGAATCTACAGGGAGATATTTTTTCATGGGATCAAGCCTTTTTTCGCCCCATGAACTTTTTTTGTAGTGCGCCGCTGGTGGATTCTAAAATATGAAATGAATTTTTTGTTTTGTTTATAAATTTTTTTGTCTCTTGTAATTTTCACGCATCTGCGATCGTTATCGAGAAAAAAGTAAAATCAATTTTTGTGATTCGCTACATTTAATTAAATTTTTTAACAAAAGGTAGGAACCTATTATCACAATGAGAACAAAAAACTCTATACGTGATCTAAATTACAAGTTTCCTTAAACATTACCTAAAAAATAAGAAACCTAACGAACCTTGACTTTTCATAAAAGGTGCTCGAAATGCCCTCCTCCTTCTGCGATACAACCTTCCACTCTTCTTCTCATAGACTGCCGTACGCGTTCCAAAATTCCGGGGGTGTTTCTTATGGTGTGGAAGGCATCCATAATTCGCTCAGTAAGAACTTCGATGGGAGGCACTGGTTCTACACCATAAACTAGGCCCTTTACATGTCCCCATAAAAAGAAGTCCAGCGGGTTGCAATCTGGGGACCGTGGGGGCCAAGCAATTGGACCTGCTCTACCAATCCACCGATTGGGAAACACAGTATTTAAATAGTCGCGGACGATGACTCGAAAATGAGGGGGGGCACCATCGTGCATAAACCACATTTGTTGACGAACTTGTAAAGGCACGTCCTCCACTAATGCAGGCAAGTCGTTCTGTAGGAAGTTTGAATATGTGGCACCATTTAAAATTCGCGGTAAAATAAAAGGACCAATTAAAGTATCTCCTACTATTCCTGCCCATATGTTTACGCTGAACTGTTCCTGGTGTCGAGATTGTCTGATTATGTGTGGATTTTCTAGTGCCCAACTATGAACGTTGTGGTAATTCACTACTCCGTCGCGTGTAAAGTGAGATTCGTCAGTAAAAAGGATACGAGATAAAAATTCAGGATCCCTAGTACAGTTGCGCAGTATCCATCGGGAAAACTGCAAGCGCCGTGGAAAATCTCGAGGAAGCAAACCTTGGACGCGCTGGATATGGTATGGGTACAGCATATTTTCGTGTAAAACCCTCCAGACAGTTGAATGGGAAACATCCAAATCCCGTGCTATTTGTCGAGTACTTATACCAGGATTTTCGTCGATAACATTTAAAATCTCTTCATCTCTTACTGGGTTGCGTGCTTGTCGCGGTCTGCCAGCATCGTGCCTTGGAGTCTGAAATCTGCCGTATTCCCGAAGGTGCTGATGGGAATTTATAAAAGTTCTATAGTTGGGAAGCCGGCGATTAGGAAATCTTAGCGCGTACAACCTCTGAGCTCTGAGTCCGTTACCATTCCATAAACAAAATGGATGTCAGCCAGATGTTCAAATGAATATGGTTCATTTTCCATTTTAAAGTTAAACAAATACACGATGAGACATCCACCAACTTTCAAATAATGTCAAATGCTTCAAAACAAACCTAAACGTCAAAATGAAAATAGCAGTCAAAGCCCACTAATTCGCTTTTTCATTGTTCCGTTGAAAATTTTAATTAAATGTAGCGAATCACAAAAATTGATTTTACTTTTTTCTCGATAACGATCGCAGATGCGTGAAAATTACAAGAGACAAAAAAATTTATAAACAAAACAAAGAATTCATTTCGTATCTCAGAATTCACCAGCGGCGCACCACAAAAAAGTTTATGGGGTAAAAAAGGGCTTGACCCCTGAAAAAAATATCTCCCTGTAGATTCTCACAATCACTCGGCATGCTGGATGATGTAAGCCCTAGAACGTAACCTACATTCCAAATTTGATCTTAATATCTCAAAAATTGAAAGAGCTATGAAGAAAAAAATAAAAAAATCTTGAAACTTTAACGCTCTGTAGATCGGTAACGAAGCGTTTGCGGACACATGTTTATGGACAAAAACGTCTTATTTTGACCTGAAAAATACGCCCCTAAAATCTTGATACTGAATTTTGAAACACCCTGTATATATCTTGGGAGCAAACGTTCATTTCCTCCCATGTGTGTTCAATGCAGTCCGCAACGCGACCTTATTCCCTAGGTGTATAATGTATTATTACGCCTCGAAAAGCAGTAAATAATAATTGTAGGTTCTAGAGCTAGTGGTCGAAAAAAGTTTTCGAATTCCAGATAACGGAAGATGAGGTGAAAGCGGCCAACGAGCAATACCAAGGCCTGAGTGACCTGGTGCTGTGGTCGTTGCCCGACGTCCTCTTGCGACCTCTGCTCGTTCGGCTCCGGATCGACGTCAACCGCGGCGCGGCCGAAGACGACGCCAAGAAATGGTTGCTATCCGCCGATCCAGAACTGAGAAGGGTCGTCAGCAAGGAGACGTTGCAATGGAAGAAGGCCTCCCTCGCACAGGTACGGCTCGTTTTCTCTAAAGCGATACGAGAACATTATTTTTTCTGCAACCAACACAAAAGCCGTCTATTGTGATACCAAAATTAGCTCTTGAATTGACGTTTCTATTACTTACACAAAAATAGGTATGTTGCTAGGTTGCTAAAGTTGAACTTTAGTTACTAAGAGCTAAAGTTCAACTTTAGCTCCTAGGAATTGAAATGATATACTAGAGGTCATCAAGAATAAACAACATTGTAATGGTTGATTATTTGGGTTGGGACGCATACCTGATTTGTTTCTGATTTCAACAGATTAGGCATTTCATACCCATGCTGTTGATATAAATACACCTTAGTACAGTCTCTGAGTATTCACACTAGTGTATATAATCAAGGGTATAGCTGAATAGTTTTGTTTTGATCAGGAAAGCCTTCATACATACTTGCTTGATTGCTTGATATGTATTTTATTCGTTATTCTCGGGATGGATAACTTGTTTTGAATAATCACGGCCAACAATAGTTTTTTGTCTCAAACAACGATATTGTTTACCTCTATTCGATTATCAAGTCAAACACAGTGTATTATGGGGAAGGATGAATAAATCATCGCTATTATCATTGTTGATATGCTCACTAACCTAATATTTTCCACGTCGTTTGCATTTAGAGCACCTGGTCCATTCACAAATATGTCAGTCTGTGGTTGTATTTATATTGAAACTACAATTCGAACATCCTTGAAAATTGAATAAACCTGATCTGTAAATGCAGGTAGAATATTCTTACCACACGGATTATTTGTTGCATTGCATACATATGGCACGGCATTGGTGGTTACTTCACATATTTATTTGAGTTAATTGTTCCGGTTGCAGAAAAAATAGCATGTTCCATTCGGATCATAAGTGACTTTGTTTGACTTGCAAATTTCTCTTTCACTTTTGATCCAAAAAAAACAATCTACTATATTTCATGCACGGTGTATGAAAATTCATGTGCGTATTCGGTAGGTCTGAGAATCGGTCGTAAGATATTTTTTAAATTGAAAATTCAAGATTAGCGGATCCCAAATTAATTGATTGATTAATTATTATCCGATATTATTCCAAATTGGTATCTGGGGTTTTCGGGGTCGGAGATTATAAATCCTTCGTCAGAATTGGGAAATTCAGGATGCGGATCCAATATGGCGGACGAGTTTTGTAACTATGATTCGATTCTTTCAAAAATTGGTATCTGGGGATTTTTGGGGTCGAAGATTATGATCCCGTCGTCAAAATTGGTATCTGGGGGTTTTTGAGGTCGGAGATTATGATTCTTTCCTAAAATTTGAAGATTCAAGATGACGGATCCAATATGGCGGACGAGTTTCATAATCATGATCCGATTCTATTCAAAATTAGTATCTGGGGGTGTTCGGGGTCCGGAGAGATTGTTTCGTCTGAATTAGGAAATACGAGATGGCGGATTGAATATGACATACGAGTTTTGTAATTATCATCCGATTCTATTCCAAATTGGTATCTGCATGGGGGTTGTGTCGGGTCGGAGATTATGATTCTTCCGTTTGAATTGAAAAATTCAAGATGGCGGAACCAATATGGCGAACGAATTTTGTAATTATGATCTAGTTCTATTCAAAATTTGTATCTGGGGGTTGTCGGGGTCAGAGATTATGATTCTCTTGTCGAAATTAGGAAATTCAAGATGATGGTTCCATTGGAAAAACCATTGTCGATCTAAATGGAAACCTAGTTAGGTAGTTAGTAGGCGAGAGCATAATATTGTCTGTTCTTTGAAAAAATAAATGAAGGCGTTCAGTAGTACAGAGACATCAATGTGAACCAAGTAAACTAAGTTATTCATTTGTCAGACCTAACCGTAACATTTTTCATGGTCCTGTCAAGTTTGTAAATAAAAATCTGTCATGTGGAATCCCGAAAATGAAACATTATCACGAAGGATATTATCAAGTATGAAAACCATATACCTATACTTGAATGGAAGCAGGAAGATGTTTAGGCAATGCTGTATTAGTATGATTCATGATGCAACTTGAATTTAAGTTGGAACTGTGGAAACTTCGGAAACTCAATAGTGCTATTACACTTTTTCGACATGCAAGCCAAGCAGAAAGGTAGGGGCTGCTTTTTTCCTTCTATATTTTTGATAAGTTACTCTATAATTCGTGAAATTCCATTATTTGCAGTGAAAACATGACTTTAGTGATGTAAACCATGTACACATCGGAATCACTATATACTTGAAAATTTCAGGTACCTACCTACAGCGGAGAGTACTTGCATTAATAGCTTTTCAGTTGAAAAACGGAAAACTATGAGTGATGTGGAAGTATCACATTAGAAATCATTATGTGAGTAATGTTCAGAAGGAATGTACCAGAAGGATGATGATGTTCCAGAACAGAATGGAAAATTTACCATCTGAAATAAATATATAGAAGCACTAAAGTTAGACTCAATCTGGTTATTTCATCAATGTCTCATGGATATTCTGCTCCAAACACAAAATATCATTATATTTTTTATAGATAGGTACCTCCTTGAAAGTCGAGCTGAAAAAATATCCAGTTCACAAGATTTTATGAAAAAACACACAAGAAAATGGGGCAGTGAATAAAATCAGAAACTTTTCATCCTGTAGTTCGATGAGCTGAATCCAGATAAGCAGTAAGAACAACGATTTGTTTGCTGGAAATAGCCAGGCATTTCATTCTAGGCTACAAATTATACACACCCCAATGTATATTCAATTTATCCATTTTTCAAGCAATCAATTAGATGATGAGGAACATGTGATATTCCACTCCAGCACACTCAGGACCATTTTCGTAGTGAGCCACTCAGAATTTCACTAGAGTAAAGTGATTTCAAGATTGTATAGGAATCATCCTCAGATATATGGTATTCTATTGTTCAGGGTTCTTTGTCAAGATGCTGGGATATTTAGAATTTTTTATTGGAATATAACTTGTATGTATTGTATGAATGGCAATACAATTTAATTTTTTTAATAAATTGTACATAATTGTGAAGAATTATTTCAATTTTTATTCTACTATATAGTTTGTTCTCTTCTGATGATACCCTGTTTATTGTTATACAGATGTATTGGCAGATGAGTTTGAAAACACTATATATATTGTACAAATATTGTATATAGGTGAAGTATTTTTGAAGTAAACCAATGATTATTTTTTATTAAATCATCTTATTGAAGCTACGAACTTCACTAAATATGAGAAGATGTGTCTATTATTGGCACAAATTAAACCACAGGAATATTCAATACCAATATGTATCTTTTTAATTTATATTTAAGTCAACATTTTGAATGAACTTTATTATTATTTATTATCATTCTATAATATCTGTTCAAATGCCCGTTTCCTCCTCAGATGCTTCTTCATCGTCAGGTCCTGTTCCTTAAGGCAGGAATTCCTCTTCAGCATCATATTCCAAACAACATTGCCGAGTCTGAAAATATAAAAATATTGTCCCTAGTTTCAATGTCCTGTACCATTCTGAAATGAATTTAATGACTTTTGACTATGGAACAACTTTTAGAGGAACCAAAGTCAAGTTCTTGGTGAATTTCATACCGAAACTAATAATTAGTTAGTTAGTATAGGTACAAACTTGTTAAATACCATTTTATTTATATATTTCTACCTTGAACAAACTTGGGACCGTACTCTCTTTCCAAAACCGTTTCCTATTCTTCATTGGCAAGAAACAGTTCCCTTAAAATGTTGGAAACATATAGTATCATGTTCACTTACTTCAAAAACTCACATTCCTGAAATATAAATATCATTAAGTTCCAAATATTATGTGATTCAAGAAAAAAAGTTCACCTTGATATCCAATGAATATGGCGTGAACCCATTGACGCCTCAGGATTTGAGGCTCAAATTCACAACAGTGGGGATTGGGGAAACCATGTCTTGATAATTCAATTACACCTTCACCTCCTGGAGTGCGCAGTTTTCAGATGCAAAATAACACAATCGCACTCACAAACCAATCAACAAACTCTGATAGAAAACCAATACTAGAAGAAATGATAAGGTATAGGTATAATTGTAATTTCCAAGAAAGGAAATCAAAGTTCAACACATCCACAAAGACGAAGTTATAAGTTAATGACAACTGTCAGAAAATAATTTTATGATTACATGAATCTTCTCCATCGTCTTCCTATCAAATATCACGTCAATGATGGAAAGCACGTCTGTGGTTGAGAACATATTGGAGAAAAATAGAAGAAGAGAATATCAACCTAATATGGTCTATTTTGACAGAAACAAATGAGCTTTTTCCATTTTCAGGATGCCAGCGCCACTTGACAGGCAGACAGATTTTGATTCAAAGAACAGACAATATTGTACCTCCTCGCGTACTAGGTCGCCTACTAGGTTTTCATTCAGATCGACAATGGGAAAAACTATAGAAACGCTTTTATAGATTGCCAAACTGAAAAAAAAAATAGAAGATAATAGTTATTTATGTACCAAGTGCGTTATATAGATTCTAACGCCCGGAGGGTAACATTCACCCTTTGGCCCGAGGGATGAATGCTGCCCGATTGGCCTCCTCCAATTCTTGAGCTAGGACTAAAAGATGCAGTGAAGGTCGGATGACATCGCTTTACGACTTTTACGAGTGCTGAAACAAATTTCTTTCTTTCCCGTTCTTTTTTCACTTTGTTCATATTCCTTTCTTTCCTAATATAAAATTTTGACTATATATTCACCTCCCAAATGAAAAAGATAGACTTCGAGGACACCAGCCTCGAAAAAGAATATTTGTACTATAAAAAGAGTACGTCGCTGGTCACCCTACATAAGAAAGTGTTTCTTCAGTTTCTCAGACTACTATCTTTTCTTTTACCAAGTTGATTTCTCATTTACTGTCGCGGATTGCAGGAGGATGCGGCGATGCGTCAAAAGGCCAAAGTGAACATCGCCGCTCTGCTCGACGAGATGGCCGACTCGATGAACAAATTGGCCATGTTGGAGCGAGACTGGCCGAAGATATTCCACGACTTTATCCAAAACACTCTGCTCGACTACTCGCAATTAGACATTTACATGAAGAAGAAAATTCAAGAGTTGTAATCCGTCCGGGGAAAACAGTCCTAACTGAATCGCTTAAACATTCCATCGGGTAATCGCGGTAGTCAAGGTCATCATCTGACGGTGCGATGACATATAAAAACTACGGGAAAACATGTCTAGCTTTCAATCTAATCCAAGAGATATGAATGTTTTCCAGTAGTTTTCAAGTCATCGCAACGTCAGATGATGACCTTGGCTACCGCGAATAGAGAAGTTCAGCTAGATTTGAAATAGAAAAAAATAAGTTTCTTCTTCTGACCTTGTATTCAGGGTTTCAACCACAAAAGATAGTTGAAGACGGCTGTGGTAGATGGTGTACTTACTGATGCGCTTTTGTTTCAGAAATTCTTCTCGACCTCCCGAGAGTCTCGTGAACAATGTTTTTAGCTGTTTTCGGATAGATGGCGACATTGCACAATTATGACATCGGCCAATTTTTTGAATAGGCCTTTTCATTAAGATGACAAATGACTATCTCTGTTTACATCTCGCATCCAACGACAGTGGCGGCCATTTTCACCGAAACACTTTCACCACAGTACCACACTCCTCAGTAACGAATAAGTAACGTTTTTTGGAATTGAATTATTATAATACAATTAATACACACATGGAATATAAAAACAAAAATACTATGTTGTTATTGATGTTTCTCAATGACGAATGCTCATGGTGGTTGACACTGTTGACATTTGACAGAACGTCAATAATACTCGCCATATTCGAAATGGCCAATCAGCATTTTATGGGACTAGACAATTGAATTACTTGATAGCAAATACATTCAAGTCAAACATTGGCAACAATCTGTTTTTCACAATGGAATAATTTTATACAATTCATTTTTTTTTTGTTCTAAAATTTGTTCTATCCGTCATTCGGTTGCCCCCTTACGAGCAACCCTCAAAAGTCTTCGAAAGTCTTGTGCGAGCAAGGAATGACGGGGGCCTTACCTTTTAACGTGTGATCCCAAACACTTTCTTGGACCATCAGAAAAATTTCTGCAGTCGACGGGGATCGAACCCACGACCGGCAAGCGAATGCGAATTAGAATATAGACACTCTGTCCGCACGGCTACCTGGCCACCATTACCGAATGAGTTGAAAAATATACATGATGCAAGAAGGTTTAAAATCAATCTTGAAAAATACTTGCTCAGGACAATTTGAAAGAAAAATATGTGGCATGATTTGATTACTTAGGAATGAAATATAACTTTAATCTTATAAGACACAATATTAATTCGTTTCCACTGAGTGGAATTCATTATAGTTAACCCTTTATTATTATTTTTTTATATGTATTTATGTATCCCTATCATAAACAGAAATGTTTCTTGGGGTAATAAAGACAATCAATCAATCAACTATACCCAATATGAGACTTCACCTTCGCATTACCCAATGAATTTTTGGATCTAAAAACGAGCGCATGCGTCTTAAAAATATCTCTAGGTGAAAAGGCCTATTGCCGCAGATTTTTCGAATTCAGAGTTAAATAATCCCACAGTTACATATTTTTCGCGTACCTAAAATGCCATTTGCCGTTTTATTTCCACTCGTCACAGCAACAATAGCAGCATCACCATCAAGCAGAAAAATGTAGAATCAAAGTCTCACTCGATGTGACGTAGAGAAATCATTGTAGGCGGTCGAGTGATTTTTCTTAAGTCTTCAATACGTAAAAATGGCCGACAACGCGCACCATCTACTTATTTCCATCATTACTTGCGGATTCCAATTTGAAATTATTTAAATTCAATGTTGGCGATACAATGAGCAGAAATGGAGACCATTCATTCTTCTTCTCACTTCCCAAATGCCTCTGCTCTATAAGGCAAGCACATTCTTGTATTGTATTATTGTATTCGTTAAACCTGTATGATTTGAAACTTCTCTCTATGATTTTAAATTTGTAAGGTCCCCATTGCTGAGAAATATGGAGGTATTTTGTAATTTCAAATTCAAATTGAGTTCATGTTTTTCCGAAACTAGGATGCATGTATTGTAAAAACTGATATTCTGCACTACATTGATAGGGAAGTATTGTAAAAATTGTAGGGTGGCCCTCTTTTCAGTATGGATGTAGATTCAAAAAATTATCAACATCAATCACACTAACATAATTTATTCTCCATTTGTAACAACCTGCGACATCGACTATCATGCAACAAGTGAGGTCATAGTAAAAAGTGTCTCCTATATGACACTTGACAATAATGACAGTCCCTTTCATTGACACAATACTCAGTGTTACCAAACTAAACCAATACACATGTGGCGGCAAATTTGAATTTGAATTATATCATCCTACAAAATTGCCATTTTTGCAATACATAAAATTTCATCACAGTAGATGTGATGAATTTTTGCGGTAACTTAAGTCTCCATCTATTGTTTTTACAATACATGAAATCTAATGTATTTCAAAAATGGGTTATTGCATTTGATGAATTTTGTTATGTCAATTATTTCAATACATTGCTAGATTGCTAGCAATGTGTTGTTCAAATGTTTGTTTTTACAATACATTGCTTGTATTGTATCTCACCATCGTTTTTACCATACATTGCAAGTTGTATTGTAAAAACGTTTCACTTTTGCAATACATTGCCGCAATGTGTAGCAAAAATAACAGTTTTTTCAATACATATTGCTCTTCATGTATTGTAAAAATGTCCATTTCTGCAGCAAACTATTGCAAAAACACAATCTTTGCAATACATTCAATCCACTGTATATTAAAAAGTAAAAAGGCACTCCATAGAGCAACGTGTTCAGCAATTTTTACACACACACACACACACATAGACTATTTTTGAGAGGTTCTGGAAAATAGGTGAGAGTGGAATTTTTCATCAGTTCTTCACTTTCAACTTGGAAACCTGATGACAAGGACAGTAGGGGAAGATGGAGAAGACATTTTCTCCTCTCTCATCACTGAACTTCTCTATCTTGGTGACTCGATTTTGTGTGAATAAACCAGATTTTCGGGTGAGATATTTTTTGTTGGGAGGTTGGCCACTCAAAAGTATCAAATAAACTCGAAAAAATTGGGATTTGGGAATATCATGAGAAATGAATGGAAACTAAAAAAATAATTGAAGAAAGTATGAGAGAGATCAGAGTACCTATTCATTGAATGAAAGGCTAATCAGGAAGAAAATAATGTTTATAAGGAGAAGAGAATTAACAGTAATTTGAGAGAAATCAAAGGACATTTCAGGAAGCATCAGATGTGAGTCTTAATCAGATGAAAGAAAAATTAGGTGAATTAGATGAAAAATAGAAATATGGGAAATGATAGTACAGGAAATGCAATGATTCGAATTGGGAATGAGAATAATGAATGTGAAATTTAGATGAGGGGAAGTAAACAGGAAAAATAGGAAATATTAAGGAAAAATGAGAAATCATATTCACAATTTGAGTGGTATATATTCTTGTGAAAATTGTGATTTCAATTCAAAAAGGCAATTCCCCGGTTCATTCATTGTGGAATGTCTGATGCTAAAATAGTAAATTGACTGGACTACTGGGTATATTATGAGACACTGCCATGAATTTAGTAAATGTACACACTGTTGGCACTGTTATTTTGATAAAAACTGTTTTTCTGTTATGAATTGCATATACAATAATGAAAATAAACTGTTTTCCATTAGAAGTGTACTTTTTAGATCCTTTTGCATTCCTATACTAATGCAGAGTGTCTCAGAATTATAATACCTACATATCAAAGATAGTTTATTGATTCTTCCCAGGAAAAAAAATGGTAGGTACCTACTGACCAAATGAAATATAAACTCTGTTCTATACAATTTATCACATTATGTAGACATAAAATATATTACATTTCCATGGGAAAACTAAAACAAGAAACTTTAATTGTTCAAAATCTGAAACTATTCAAATCCTATTTCAGACAGGTATCAGTTTGTATAATCCTACTTCATTGATAATTCAAATCACTTTGTTTTTTCAAAATTGCTTAAGCTGTGAAATCTTGTTATTCCTTCTCATAGCCATTTTCCTTATCCTTCTCCAATATTCCTTAGAATTAGGGTCAAGTTCTTCTAAGGGTGGTGGTGAGCCAAGTCTTATGTCCCACAGCCAATCAGGGTACTCTTCATTAGGTTTGAGAGCCACTTCCTCTCCAGTTTTGTAGATATTAGCACCACAAACGAATGTAGCTAACTTGATGGGATCTGTTTCTACTGGTAACACCTTTTTCTCCATTGTGGGCCCCATTTTCCCTAGTTTTTTCTTTTTTAGGGCTCCACCCATCATAGCACCTAGAACGTTTATTATTAGAGCTGTTGAAAACTAATTCAACTTCTCTTATCCCCCTACCAGGTTTTGCATAGTTATTTCTCGGAAAAGATAACTGGAAGGATATCAGTGTTTTTCTGATATTCAACATACAATAAGCACTGGAACCATTCATTTTTAATTGTATTATTCCCAAAAATTGAACTGTTTATAATACAGAAAAGCCAAACATCACCTCAATTTTTTAGGTTATAATGATGTGACTATTTTCAAATTTTCATTTTGACTTATGCAGCGCTGCTAAAATCTCAACACGTTGTCGGTTTTTTAGACACCGGCGATAATTTGCCTGTCATTTGTCACACATTTTTAGGTTATATTTTTATTTTTGTTGATAGAAATGATAGAATGCTCACTTATAAAATTCCTTAAATAAATGAACATTTGAAATTAATTACAATGATTATTTCGAAGCAAGAAACATTGGCTGATAAAATTGCCGGTGTTTTATCAACAGCACCGTCCAATTTCGATCTGGACGATGAAATTGATGAGGACACTCGCGCAAAAGTTACTTCAGAAAATGATTTTGAAGAACATGTGGACCAAAGCAGCAAGTTTAGAAAGCAAAACGTTGATCTCTTGGCTGATGTTGATGAACGATATGCTGGCAAAAAGGGCAGCAGAAAAAACCTGAGCAGCCCTGTCAGTTCCAGTGAGGATGATTT